CCTCTGGACATGGACTTCCGCCGAGCAAGGCCAACTCTGCAACACAGCTGCTCCCTACAGATGGTCCATCTTTCAATCACTGGGGACTTAGTGTCATTGTCCTCAAATGTCTTTTCCAGGAACCCTGACATGTGTCCCAGAGGGAGTCCAATACAGATGGCTCAAAGTTCAGGAAGAAAAGCAGCATGGGTGGCTCAGGGTATGGACGAGGGGCCAGCCAGCCAGTGATACTGGACTCCCACAAGGCCTTGGAGGCAGATTCCTAGTCAAGTCACAGGACCAGGCCATGAGCTAGGTGGTGACAGATGAGCTCACCTGTGACTGGACGGACACTCATCACCCCTCCACCCACGGTTCCAGCTTTCGACATAGAAGTCTGTCTGTCCAGCCACAGACGCTGAACTCAGCCACTGCCACGACTACAAGGGGCATCATTCCTTTTTTCCTTGGCTTTTCGAGACAGGGTTTCTCTGTATTGTTTTGGAGGCTGTCCTGGCACTTGCTCTTTAGACCAACTGGCTTCAAACTCACAGATCGGTTTTCCTGCCTCTGCCTCTGCCCCCCAGGTGCTGGGATGAAAGGTGATCACCATCACACCTGGCCTGCTTTCCTTTTTTATCACTAAACTTTTCTGTAGTATTTGAAGTGAGGTGACAGATATTATGGTTTTTTTTATTCATTTTTATTTTTTACTGGAGTGAAAAACAAATATGTAGCAGCTGGATATGGAGGTGCATGCCTGTGATCAGGAGACTGAGGCAGGAAGATCACAAGTTTGAGGTTGGTCTGTGTTACACAGTAATGCTCTGCCTCTAAAAAACGCAACCAACATTTGCCGTTAAATCCAGTGTCCCCTCAGTCCAGGGATGGCCAGCTCTCTCTTGAAGTACAGTGCCCACCTGCCCTCTCCAGAACGCTCTCTCCAGACTGAGGCGCTGTTGGGGTTCAGTGCTGCCCCTTGCAACCCCCCTTCTCATGTCTGTGAAAGGGATGCTCTAGGGATTTAGAGCAGAATCTCATGGTGTTTGTGTGTGGTCGGTTTACACAGTATCGGGTCTGCAGGGATCATCCCTGTTGTAGTGTGGATCAGAGAAGTGTCTCATCGAGTGTTTGTGCCAGAATTTGCAGACCCGTTCACGGCCCTCCGATGTTCAGCTGCCGTGAAGGGTGTGTGCGTGAAGAGTGCGACGTCTCTGGAGACCCTACTTTCAGTTCCTTGGGCCTGGCAGCAGACAGGCTGGCCCATGGTGAGTCTGAGTTGAATTTTCTGTGGGGCTGTGACACTGCAGGTTGTAGCTTGCCTACACTCTGCTCATGCGCACACACACTCCCAGGTTTTGTCTCTGGCTGTGCTGCCGTTTGTGGGGTAGATGCTTCTCAAAGAGAATCACTGATGCCACTGCACTAGAGTAAGAGAGGCTGCCAACCTGCAGCATTAATTAATTCCATTGCTTAAGGAGCATGTGCACTGGGCTAGGGATGGCCCAGGGTTCCATCCTTAGCACCATGCAAAAGAACAAACCAGGGAACAAACCAGGCTGGTATGGTAACTTCAGACCTCTTGGCCAAGCTTAGTGCAGAATGATGGCATTAGCTTTCCTGGAAGGGAAGGCACCACCTAGCTGCTCGCCAGGGCCCAGTGTGGGGGCTAAGCTAAGGGCAGTTTCTTTTGTCGACTTGTGGGAAGGTCACAGAACAATGCCAGGATGTGGGGTTGTTCTTAGCCTTGTGGAGACAGGGTGGGTTGTGAGGTCAGAATGACTCCCACTTTTCCCTGGTTGTTCAGAGTCCATGAGAAGGAACAACCCTTGCGGCCTGCCGCCTTCATCCGTATTGCAGCATGGACCGGCTTCTCTCAGTTCCAGTGCGGTTTCTGCCAGGTTAGGCTCGGAAGACTCACACTGAGTCACTGGTCTTCAGTGGTGTGAAGAGCTGAGTGAGTAGGGACCGCGTAGAAGCGCCTGCCAGATGGGCGCAGGGTGGAGAAAGCAGAGCCTGCTGGCTGCTCTCTGGGGCAGAGCTGGGGTCCCTGAAGGTGGTCCGGTGGTGGGTGGGGAAATCCTCAGTAGCACTGGGTGGGCAGTCCTCTGGCCACGGGTGGATAGGCCTGTTTGTAGCCTTCACCTGGGCCTGACCACACTCGGCACAGTCTGAGAGTCATTGTTGCTGAGAGATAGCTGTTCATGCTCAGAGTGTGCTAGAATTTGCAAGATCACATCACCGAGGCAACACTGGTGGGCAGCAGGAGGTGTTGGGAGCTGCCCACTGTCTAGATCTGCTCCAACTGGCCTGGTATCCTGTTAAATGCCTCTCTGATTTAGTGAGTCCCGGCTCTGCTCTGCACCAGGGGAAGCCACTGTGCCCCAGAACTCACTCTTGGTTGTGAGATTCTTTTGACCCAGTCTCAGCGGCCACTGCCATTGGTCAGCCACGCCCCTCCCCCCTCCCCCACCTGCCACAGGTTCAGGGGGGTGTGAGAGCAGTTATATTTATCCTAATAGCTTTTGCTGACTTAGGGACAGCTTCTCACTAGTTCTAACCTAGCCCCCCACTTTTTTAAAAAAGAGATTGTCTTACACTGTGACCCAGACTAGCTTGGAATTCACTCTATAGCCCAGACTGGCCTCAGGTTCACTGTGCAACTGAGGGTACCCCTGAATTCCTGATCCTCCCAAGTGCTGGGATAGCACCAGGCTGACTTTTACAGTGCTGGGAACTGGACCCTGGACATGCTAGGCAGGCAAGAGCTACATCCTTAGCACAAATTGTGCTTTTTTGAGAGTAAAGAAAGCTCCAGTAAAGAGCCACATCCAGGTGTTTGGGGCCACCCTGGGCTGTGTAGTCAGTTCCAGGCCAGCCTGGTCTACCGAATGAGACTACCTCACAGAAATAAAGGACTAAGTAAAACAGCTGTCACAGTGTTAGGGTGTCCTGAGGCCCTGGCTTAGTGGTGATTGACAGAAAGGTTTTTAGCATTGTTTTCTCAGAGACATTTCAATATTGCAGAGACCGTCACAATCCCATGGGACAGTCCTGCCACCGAACCCCTGTACCATGGAGTGCCGCTATTGCAAGCCACCACACACCTAGGTCACTGTCCTATGCCAGCCATTGGTGGAAGCCTTATGATGGCTGAAGTGACTGGGTAGTGTGCCTGTGGAATCCCCCGGTCCCTGGTGCTGGGGATGGAACCTAGGGCCTTGTGCAAGGGAGACACGTGTTCTTCCACGGAACTACACTCCCAGCCCATGATAAGAATTTCCTGTGTTTAATTTGCAGACTTAAATCATGTTAGTGATCTGATTTCCTCTCTGAGGTTAGCCTGGTTCCTGGGTCAAGTCTGTTGGTGCTTCGTTACAAAGAGCTGAGGCCTTACAAAGCATTCCCTTATGATAATCAATCAGGCGGGCATTTCAGTGTTCCCTACCCTATGGTTACCCCAAAAGAGTTGGCTTGGGCATTGGAGCTCCTGGCTTTGGAAGGCAATTCACACAGATAGATTGTAGGCCTGAGGACCTGAGTAGAGGCAGCTTTTGGGGACTCCGATTAGACAGTATTAAGACCTGGTGTCCCCCCATTGTGTAGTGTGCAGTGTGGCCCAGTGCAGCTGTGCTTGGTACTTGGTAGTCAGTTCTGGTTCTTCTTGGCAAGGACACTTCCATGGAGGTCAGGCCCAAGGTGCTGGGTTTGGGCCATATTGCTGCCCTTGTCTGAGCCCCTTCTTCCCAGCTGACTTTATAGGAACCACTTAGCTCCAGTAATCAATTGCAAGGATAGATTGTACTGGGTCAGCATATTTGAAGTTGTAATTGGGCTGTGAGGTATCGTGGCTTTTTGGAAGGTGAGCCAGAGATACACAGCTCAGATGCCCACATCCTGGTCCAGCTGGCCCGTGGTCTCTCCACTTCTTGTCTCTCCTGCATTTGTTGATGAGCATCCATCCCTCCAGGTAGCATTGCTGTGAGTAGGCGGCCGGTCCTTACAGACAGCTGACCTGATCCCTGTGATGTGCTGGAAGATGAGCTCACCAGTGGGAGGTGCCAAGAATGCAGCCTTGGAGCCAGGCCATGACCGCTGTGTGACTCAGTCTCCGAGTTTAATCATCAGTAACATCCATTTACACGCACACACACCAGTAAACTGCTGGGACCCTGCCTGGGTCTTCTCTCCGGAGGGGACAGCCAGGCACAACTGGAAGGAGAATGCTCTGTGGGACCACTGCTCTTTGGGACCTGGGGCGGAGGGAGGGAACTTGAAAGAAGCTGGATCCTCAGGCCCCACCAAAGCCAATCAGAGAGCCTCCTCGATGCCTGCAGCTGACAGCCCATGAGTACTGGCAGGACCCCATCCATCCAGGGCTGGTGGCATCTGTTACTGAAGGGGAAAAGACCAGTCTCTGGGGACCGTCAGAACTGAAGTGCTGACCCCCACTCCACCAGACTGCACCGTGTCCCGTTCCAGGCAGCTGCTATCCCACCCCGTGCAGGGCTGGAGTCCTGACATGGGAGGTCACTGAACATCTGGTAAGGTTGTGCTATGAAGCCCAGCCTGACGCTCCACGGGGTGTGATACTGGGAGTGTGAGCTGAAGCCGTCTTTGGGTTCAGGGTCCCTTCTCATGCCATGTGCTCACTACTAAGGGGTGCTGACCTGGCTTTAGTCCAGGGTCACACTGTGGACATGACCTTTGTTCAAATCACGTCACCTCTGTGCCTCCTGCCTGGGTGCCACTGGGGACGAAATGGCCTTCCCTGTGCCTGCTGGCATGTTTGAATATGGTGGCTCCTGCTAGCCCTTACGGGGTACACTGGTGAGGGATGGCACTGTGGGTGTGGGCTGCTCAGCGGCAGACAGCTCTCCGGTGGTGAGGACTGGCTCAGTTAACTGTCCTGGCAGCCCCCGCCCACACTTGAGACCTGAGGCGAAGGGCTGGCATTGGTCGAGGTGAGTTGGGTGTGGGGTGGAGCTGTGGTGAGGGGGAGGAGTTGGGAGGGTGCTAAGGACCTTTCCGCTGGTGTGGTGTTGGACATGGGTCTGGGCTGTCAAGAAAATAACATCATCATCCAGAGTATTTTGAAAAGGAAGAAGACTTACTTCTGCAGAAGGGTTTGTGTGTGGCTCTCCCAAATTAAGCAGTCAGCCACACCCAGTGTGTGGGGGGGTCCCACTTTGCTTTCATTTCTAAGGCAAAGAAAGATCCCATGTCTCATTCTGAATAGTCAGAGCTCATCCTCACCCTCTTCTGCTGCTGGGTAACTTAAAGGGAGAGTTATTAGCAAAGTGCACCCTCTGATCTTAGAGAAGTGCAGACTCGGGAGTCTCCTGTTGAATGCCTCTTTGCAGATTTCTCTGAAGATGGAATGTCCGGAGTCCCATTTAACCCTTGACAGAGAGGACCATTTGCATTTCCCTTAGGGGGACTAGGGCAGTTTGACCAAAGCGATACCGGGTGCCCCACTGCTCTCCAGCATGTGTAGTGAGGACACACCCAGGGCTGAGGTGAGCCACACTGTGCACCTGGGACCTAACACCATGTAGACTTCATGCAGGTGTGAACAGTCACCGTTTGTTTCCAGGCTCCCGAGTACCTCGGCTCATTGAACTGTTAGGCTTTTGGACCACAGCAGAGCAGACAGCGCAGATGTTCATTGAGGGAGTCCTGACCGCAGTGGAGCAGACAGCGCAGGTGTGCATTGGGGGTTCTGACTGCAGTGGAGCAGACAGCGCAGGTGTGCATTGAGGGACCCTGACTGCAGCGGAGCAGACAGCGCAGGTGTGCATTGGGGGTCCTGACTGCATCGGAGCAGACAGCACAGGTGTGCATTGAGGGGCTCTGACTGCAGTGGAGCAGTCAGCGCAGGTGTGCATTGAGGGGCTCTGACTTCAGTGGAGCAGACAGCGCAGGTGTGCATTGAGGGGCTCTGACTGTATCGGAGCAGACAGCGCAGGTGTGCATTGAGGGGGTCCTGACCGCAGTGGAGCAGACAGCGCAGGTGTGCATTGAGGGGCCCTGACTGCAGTGGAGCAGTCAGCGCAGGTGTGCATTGAGGGGGCTCTGACCGCAGTGGAGCAGACAGCGCAGGTGTGCATTGAGAGGCCCTGACTGCAGTGGAGCAGACAGCGCAGGTGTGCATTGAGGGGCTCTGACTGTATTGGAGCAGACAGCGCAGGTGTGCATTGAGGGGGTCCTGACCGCAGTGGAGCAGACAGCGCAGGTGTGCATTGAGGGGCCCTGACTGCAGTGGAGCAGACAGCGCAGGTGTGCATTGAGAGGCCCTGACTGCAGTGGAGCAGACAGCGCAGGTGTGCATTGGGGGTCCTGACTGCAGCGGAGCAGACAGCGCAGGTGTGCATTGGGGGTCCTGACTGCAGCGGAGCAGAGCCTTCATTTGTGGACAAGCATAGAGGTCACCCCAGTGAAGGGCAGATTCTTACTAGTAAAGGAGTGTCTGCCTGTCCTTGCCTGCCTGTCACAGCCCCCGTCTCTGCTGCTTTGTGAGCTCTTGATTTTACTTCTAGTGTGTTTCTTGTTGCAGAGTATGGCGTCTGTGAAAACCTGCGGAAGCTGGAGATTACAGGCGTGTCTTGCCGGGACGTCTATGCAAAGCGTGAGTCAGTCCCTTTGTCTTATCCACCACCGGTTCCTCTGTAGCAGAGTGCAGTAGATAGGTGGCAACTGTGACTGACAGTGGGGTTGCTGCTTTCTCATGTCCTGGACACATCACTCTTAATTCATAGTGCCTAAAGACATCTTAACCAAGACATCGGGGCTATGTTTGTGTTTATAATCTACATCTTACTTTTGATGGTGTTGGGGGATCAGTGCTAGGCAAATGCTCTCTTGTGACCCACATCCCAGTTCATATGTTCTGTTATTAACATACATGATAATTATGTCTATTCGTGGGATACAGTGACCTCACTACACATACACAGCATATACTGGTCAGGCCAGGGTTAATGGCATATCCGTTACTCAAACATTTATCGCTGTATGGGGAGCACTCGTGGGTCTGTCTCTCAGAGTTGTCTGCCCTGCTGTAGTACACTGCTTCTGCCTCCTGTCCAGTACAGCTTGCACCTGTTACCAGAGACCAGGGCTGAGCAGTAGCTGGGTAGGAACACTCTGGTTTTCTGGAGTTGAGCCTGCAGCCTGGTGAGATGTAGACAGCATAAAGGAATTGAGAAGCGGAGCCATGCTTTCCATCAGCTTCTTCAGTGTTGAGAGCGACTTCCTGTGCCCATCCTTCTGTAGCTCTGCACTCCCTTCCCTGTAAGCCTGTTAGCCCCAGGGCTTGTTTCTCATTTCTCCAGCTCCTTCACTGTCTAAAATCTCCTCCTCCAAGTGCTCAGCATTCCCTGTCCCCAGTTAGCCTCTCTCCAGGGCCTGTGGTGCTCATACGGTCCACACTGTGGCCAGGTGGGTGTCATTTGTGTTTGGGTGATACCATCCCCTTCTGACTGCTCTGAGTGTGGCTACCTGACCCTTATCATTACAAGCCAGCAGACGCAGCTTGCTCTTTGGGAGTTATGAGCTCCAGCCGTCTCTGCAGCTGTGAACACTGCCCAGGTGTCAGTGTCCTGTGGCAGCCAAGGAGCACACATGGATGGGGTTCCTCAGTGCTGTGGGAGAAACCACCTGGGTACAGGGCCTGGAGACAGTGTCACTGGTGCGTGGTGGAAGCAGGCAGGTGAGGACCGTAGAGTTCTGCTGTTGGGCTCTGTGAATGTGCTAAGCCCATCCTCTCTGCCTGCTTCCCAGCGCCCCCAGGGGTTTGGTCTGCATTGGCCGGAACATACTTCAATGGTAATTCTACAGTGTGGGAGCTGAGATTTCAAAAGTCTGTGAACACTCCTAAACTCTGGGACTGATGGCTGGAGTCAACCTGAGTCCCTGAAGAGGTGGCTCAGCAATGACAGGTGTGATGCTGCCTTAAAACACACAGCATGAGGACAAGATCATGAGGGTGGCTGTGAGCCAGTGTCTTTGTAGGGAAAGAACCGGCACAGCCTCCAGGGACCTGTCAGCCACACCTGCTCTCCCAAAGAATTGTGACAAGGGAGTCACAGGGGCCACTGAGTATATGGCTGAGGGAGTTGTAGTAAACAGGGTAACCTGTCACATAGTGTGCTCTGTAGCAGCTTGACCCCAGCAGTAGGAGAGGCAGGAGGAAGTAGGTGAGAGTCACATGGCAGCTGCTGGCACGTGAGAGGGGCCCTCAGCCTTTCCTGCTGTGTCCGTTCAGGTATAAATCCTCGGGTGAAGTCAGGACGCTTCATGAAAATCCTCCCCGATTACGAGCACATGGAGTACAGAGATGTGTACACCTGCCGTACGTACTCCTCATCCTGCACTGTGGCTGCTGCTGTTGCTGCATGGTTGACCACAGGCTCACTTCCTGGCCCTGGGGAGATGCTGACCCCCTGACCTTTTCTCCTGTGCTCTGCTGCAGCTGTGGTTTGCTGTGGTGGGTCATGCTGAGTGGCAGCCTAGGCTCTGTATGCATGGGATGGGTTTCCACAGCAGCCTCTAGGGTCCTGGGCAGCACCAGTCATAGTGGTTTGGGCAGGCATATCTCACCTATACTTTTTAAGGTAGTGACAGAAAAATAACAGGAGAGCCGAAGACAGTGGAGAGGCCTTTAAAGCTTCTCCATCCTAAAATAACATGAAACTGGGCTCAGTGCCACATACCTGTGAGCCTAGCACTCATGAAACTGAAGCAGGATTGCTGTGAGTTCTGGGACATCCTGAGCTACAGAGTAGGACAACTTTCAAAAAACAAAATAAAGAAAAACAAAAACAAATGGAATGTAAACCACCCTTAAGGTTGTCAATTAATTATATGAGCTTACAGAAAAAGTAATTTCCCCCCCAATCAGATGCAGGGAGCCACTGATGCTGCTTCTTTAGAACTAGATTCTCGGGTTAGCAAAATGTGCTTGCCTTGTAAGCCTGGTTACCTGAGCTCAGCTTCAGGTTCCGACTGTGACATGTGGACACCTGACTTCCTTTCTCACTGAGTGCTGCAAGTTTTCTTCAACACAGTGAAAGCCAATTTCAGTTGTTTAGAAAGAGATCAGCAGGACTGGAGAGATGGCTTAGAGGTTAAGAGCACTGGCTGCTCTTCCAGAGGACCTGGGTTCAATTCTCAACATCCACACGGTGGCTCACAACCATCCGTAGTGGGATCTGATGCTCTCTTCTGGCCTGCAGGTGTACATATAGACAGAGCACTTATACATAAGAGATCAGAGCTGGGAGTGGTGGCCATGCCTGCTACCCCAGCTCTTGGTGGTGGCAGGAGGATTAGGAGTTTAAAGCCAGCTTAGGCTATATAGTAAGCATGAAGTCAGTCCTATCTCCAATAAAACCCCAAACGAAAGTTCTGAATAGCCATTTCCCCTCTAACAAAAGCAGTATAATGAATAAGCAAGCTTGTGACTGTTTCCCAACATGCTGTCAAGGGCTGGCCCATAGCTACAGCTGGGTACAAGGTTCTTATTTCCTGTGGGGATAGTCCCAGCTTTGTGAGATGCTTGCCTTTGTCTAGTGTGCTCCTGGGTGGTGTGTGGACCCTTTGAATAGCCGCTAACAAACACCTTTGCTGTATTGGCTGGCACAGAGGTGAACTAACTGCTAAGGTCATGACTGGGGGTATGGGAAGCCCTGGGCATGGGAGGGCACGGGACCTGGGCAAGGCTGAGCTTGGGAGGGGCTGGCAGTTGCAGAGTAGAGACAGTGTTTCCAGAACACTGTGTCCTGAGCCAGCCAGCCCTCCCTGCTGAGCAGAGCAGCAGGTCCTGCCAGCCCCACAGGGAGGGGATGACTCTGGGAAGCCATGGGAACAGCTGACCCTGTGCAGGGCCAAGGATCTTCTCCACCCTCTGCCCTGCCACATCCGTGGGATTCTTCTGGAACAGTGTGGAAACCTAGCCCTCCCAGGAGGTCTGAGAGCATAGAGCCTTCTCCCTCACTCCTGGGAGATACTTTTGAATGCCTGGGATTTTCAGCCTCCTGTTTGGTGGTCCTGCTTCAGAGTGGCAGAATGGGGATTGCTGTCTTGCGAGTGTATTTGAGTCATACAACACTTGGTGGGGGCTTGGAAAGTCTGAACAGTACAAGGAATATCGCTGGTGGTGAGCCCCGGGTAGCCCATGGCCTCTGAGCCTCACCATCTGACCTGGAGCCCTCATACCGCTAGCTTCCAGGCACTTAGCAAGTGTCAGCTGGGCCCTAAGTGTGTTTTCTCACCAGCTTGCTGTGACACCTTGCACACGAAGGCTTTGGCGCCTGGCCCTACCTGGGTTTTCGTCACCCACAGGGCCTGAATTGGAACTTACATGTAAAATCCCTTGGACCCCAGACTCCTGAGGTGGATAGGACGAGAAAGGTGATGAGAAGTGTCCTCAGTGTAGGACTGTCCCGGACAGACATACATCTGTGCCACAGATGTGTGGAGTGCCAATAATCGGTCTCAGTAGAGCATTTAGGGACAGTTGTGTCCTTGGTCGGTGCTGTTGTCTGCCCTTCCTTGTGTGGGTTGAGGGTGACTGCAGCGTGTTCTGAACTGACAAGTCATTTGGAGTGACTGTGGCTGCCAGGCCTCTGGGTGATAGATACTCCAGAGTTCTGAGGCAGGTGCAGGACTGAGGACATGGCCCTGCCTGTGGTAACAGGATGTGAAAGGCTCCCACATTGGAGCATGGTGGGAGGCCTCCTACGGCGCTCCAGACCTTCCGTCTGCAAGGAGCCACTAACACTGATGCTCCCAGAGGAATGGGTAGCACACAAGAAGGTCTAAAAGCAGATGCTCATGGCAGACTCATCTTCTCATTTGTATTGTGCACCATGGCACTCCTGGCTTTGACCCAGTGACTAGGACGAGAGGCCTATTGGTTACATTTTTCCTTTTGGGCAAGAGGGGAGTGTGGGGCCACTCAGGCTCACCCTCTGTCTGCAGACAGACCTGAAGACATAAACACACTAAGTTCTTTTCCCTGTAGATGGAAGCCATGTTTAGGCTGTTTTTCTGAATGCTGCTGAACTGACTTGGTTCTGGGCAATCCTAGGCTATCAGTTGGGATAGCCCAGTACTCACCCTCGGAGGCAGGGTTAGTGCTTCAGTTGATTCTGTAAGCACCTGTAGACTGGCTGCCGGGAGAAGCAGTTTGTTTTTTCTCTGGGTGTCCAGCTCTCTTGCTGGCATGAGCAAAGGGAGGAGGCTAGTTTCTTCTCAGGGTTTGTGTGTCTGTGAATGCACCACCAGATGGAATCATCCATGACATGTCCTCCTGTCCCCTCAGTACACAGCCAGTAATGTTTGTGAGTTGCAGTGTTTTCTAAAATAATTTTAAAATGGATGATTTCCCCAGTGTTTCTGTTTTTCAACTATAAATGATAACAAATTGTTACTTTTTTTCTTCTTATGCCTGCCCTTTAATCAGGATGACACAGCGGCCACTCTTTGGAGTGTGCCCCCATCACCCTGCACTCTAGGCTCCAACGCTGTCTGCTGGGCTTGTGATCCCTGTGGGTCAGTGTGCCTGCAGCCTGTGTGTCCTTGTAGCTCTTTGGAAATGGCTTGTGGTATCCCAGGCTAACTAGCCAGCCTCACACTTGTTAGAGTTGCTGAGGATGTGACTGGTGATGTCTAAGATGTCTACGTTAGTGTGCCCTGTGCCTGGTTCCTCCCTGGGCTCTTCCCCGTGTCGAGTTCTACATGTGTCTCTGAGCTGTTTGTCAGTAGCTCAGGAGTGAGCATCAGTTATGGCTGCTTCACTGTTTCCAAAAGTCAGAGAGCCTGAGCCTGATCCTGGGCAGGTGACCCACACCTGTGAACCCCCTGTAATGGTCTTGGGCTGGACCTGGAGGAGGTAGCAATTCTTCAGGAGTGTCCAAAGGCTGGGCTGTCCCTCTCCCTGCACCCCAGGCCAAGGTCTCTGATGCCTATCCCTTTGTGGTCCTGCCTGGTTGGCCTGAGTGTGAGCTGTGCCTTCAGAGACTCCATACCCCTACACTGGACGGTCAGGACCTTCAGGGGCACCCTGATTCATCCATTAGTCACTCCTAGGAGCAGTTGCGCAGAAACAGTGGTCGTGGTGACAGGCACAGGTTGGACTGTCATCTGTAGTGGCTCATGGTGGAGGTATTTCCTGTACCCCAGAAGCAATACTGGGCGAGTGGAACATGCTGACTAATAGTGCCCCTTCTGTCCCCACAGTGCTTCACCGATACAGACACATTTTGGGGTTGTGGCAGCCAGACATCGGGCCGTATGGAGGACTCCTGAACGTGGTGGTGAGTGGGAGCCTCGTGGTTCTTGTGTGTAGGAGGTGCCCACACTGGAGAGCGGCAGTGCCATTTTTTGGCTCAGTAGAGGAGACTGGAAAAACCACCCCTAGGGTTTCCTTTCAGGACCAGATGTTTCTTTCCAAGTGAACAAAGATTTGTTGTAAGAGGTCCATTAGCCATCTGGCTGTGCTCCTGGACTGTTTAAGACGCTCAGGCAGCCACAGGGCCCTCAGCTCCTGGATGTGGAGGTTGCAGGCTCAGGTCTGCAGCCACAGGCTCTGCTGTGCCATTGTTGACTGAAGGCGAGAACAGCCCTGCCTGGTGTGCCCACTGTCTCCTTGTTGCAGGTGGATGGCCTGTTCATCATCGGCTGGATGTACCTGCCTCCTCATGACCCCCACGTTGGTGACCCCATGCGATTCAAGCCACTGTTTAGAATTCACCTGATGGAGAGGAAGTCAGCCACGGTGGAGTGTATGTACGGCCACAAAGGGCCCCACAACGGCCACATCCAGGTAGAGGAGAGCGAGACCCCTTGGGACGTGACAGGCATGTGCCGTGAAGGGTCTTGCTTCTTTGGTTGTCACAGCCCCCTGCCACCCTGGTGGGTGCCATGGCCTGTCAGTTTCCATGACCTCTAGCTCTGGGCTGGGGCTTGTCCAACTCAGTGGAGTTGAGGAAGGGTCTCCCCATGCTGTGTGTGTCCCTGAAGATGAATGTCACTGGAGCCCACTAGAACTTTCTTTTTCTTAGAGCTTTGCTGCTTTCCCTGCAGGCTAGCTTTTTCCCTTCTGTCGGCTGGTGGTCATTGTGCAGTCACATGCTCTACTCTGTTGCTGGCTCCCACGAGCCTGGTGGGGAAGGGCTATGCCTGCCTCTGGAAGAGTGCATGCTGGGAAATGTTTTTATTGCTTGTTTGTTTTTTCAAGACAGGGTTTCTCTGTGTAGCCTTGGCTGTCCTGAAACTCGCTCTGTAAACCAGGCTGGTCCCGGAAACTCACAGAGATTCGCCTGCCTCTGCCTCCCGAGTGCTGGGATTAAAGGTGTGCGCCACCACTGCCTGGCCTCCAGCCCTCCTTTTGAGGCAGTTGCACTGAGTTGCCAGCCCGGCTTGGAGTTCACCCTCAGACAGAACCTGAAATTCCTTACCTCAGCCTCCCAAGTAGATGGAATTACGGCCTGCGCCACCAGACTTGACATAGTTCGGTCTCAGTGGGTTTGGTGGGGAGGGTGGTGGACACTGGGACTCATCGTTCCTCCTGGTCCTTTTCCTTCTGTGGTCACACTGAAGATCGTGAAGAGAGATGAGTTCTCCACCAAGTGCAACCAGACAGACCACCACAGGATGTCCGGTGGGAGGCAGGAGGTGAGTCCTGGAGTCTAGGAGGGAGGCTATGGAAAGATGTTTGCATGCATGGCTGTCTTTTCTGGTGGGCACTGACCTGACCTCCTGTTGGTTAAAGTGGAGGCATGTGAGGATCCATCAGTTGGAATTACCATCTTATAACCAGCGCCATTGCAGTGCAGCGGTCTGCAGAGTGCGCCTGTGGTCCACCTTACAGAAACATCTGCGTGGACATGTGCATGAGCGCAGCCATGTTCTCCGAGCAGTCTGGATCACCCCCTGCACTCTCCTGAACACTCTGGTGGGAACCCACCCACTCAGACTGCTAGAAGCTATGTCTGGATATGTAATTCAGCCCCCTTCCCCCCAGCCAGGGCTCTTCAGGGCTGTTTCCTCCACTGGGAACCTGGTGGCCTGGGTTTCTAGGTCATGGCAGCACAGTGGATCTCCATATGTGCTTGGCTTCCTGCCACTTGCACAAGTGAGTTTACGTTGCTTTTGAGGTTTGAATTTTGAATTTTGAGCAGTTAAGTCATACCCCCATTAAGAATAACTTGGGATTTTTGAGTGTGGGTGTCTGTTGGAGCTGTTTATAATGGCTATACATCTGTAGCCAGCTTCTAGGTTCCAGGGTTCCCGGTGGCCAGAGACTCATAGAGTTCCAGTGAATGTGGTGGAGTCCCTGCCCTAACACTGCCTTCAGTCTGGTTTCCTACAGTCATGACTTGCTGCCCCTGTGAGATTGATAGAGTTCTCATTTATGTGGCCATCAGCTGTTAAGTCCTTAGAGGTCGTTGGTTCAGTTTCTGGAAATGTGTGATGGAATGTGAGGGATTCTGCAGGCTCCCTGGCTTTGAAAGAAGGATTTTTCCTGATTACAAATGCAGTACGCTCCTGGCTGAAATGACCAAGAGCTTTACTGGGAGTGGGGTGTCTCCTTAGAATTGAGGCCAAAGACGTCCTGTGTTTGTAAGTTCTGGGTTTCCTTGGCTCTGAGCTCTGGTAACAAATGCCACATCCCAGCATGCCCATCCCAGATGTCCACAGGCACTGACTGAGCTTTTCTTTATAGCAGCTAAGCCAGCTTCCTTTCCCTCTCTTACCTAGCCAACCCCCCTTTCCTGAAGACAGAGGCCTTTGGAAATGTGAGAGCACTGGGAAGGCAGCGTGGGGGGGGGGGCATGGCCATGTCGTCACCCTTGGCCATCTCCCAGGGCTGTCGGGAGCATGTGATGGTGATTGCTGAGTGCCGGGCACAGTGTGTCCCTTGGAGGGACATGAAAGTCACTCCTGAGCTGTGTTCCGGCTGTCCTTGTGGAGCTGGGGCTTGCCTTGGTGGGTTGACTGGTGGTCACCCTGCATCAGACCTTGCTTTGAGCACTGGGCTGGGGCTTCCTTGTGACCCCTCCTAGGTCGGCCCTGTGATGGTCAGCCCTGTCAGCTCAGTATCATGCTGATGAAGTCTTTGTTGCTCCCATTCAGTTGCTTTTATTTTGTCTGTTACCTATTTGCTTTTTGTGAAAAACAAGAACGGCCACTGTGATGAAAGGTTTAATTTGGAGGTTAGGACAGGTTTTGCTAAGTCAGCCTGGCTGTCCTAGAGCACACAGAGATTGGCCTGTCTCTGCCTCTCAAATTTATTCATTCATTCATTCATTCATTCGTGTGTGTGTGTGTGTGTGTGTGTGTGTGTGTGTGTGTGTGTGTGTGGATGCATGTGTGCATGCGTGCTTTGTGAAGTCCAAGAGAGAGTGTCAAATCACCTGGATCTGCAGTTATATAGGTCATTGTGGGCTGCTAGGTGTGGGTGCTGGGAACTGAACTCTGGTCCTCTGGAAGAGCAGGAAAAGCTCTTAACCACTGAGCATCTCTTCAGCATGAAGGGGCTAATTTGAAAACATTTTTTGGGGGAGTTTAAAAAGCCTTACCCCGCCGGGCGTTGGTGGCGCACGCCTTTAATCCCAGCACTCGGGAGGCAGAGGCAGGCGGATCTCTGTGAGTTCGAGGCCAGCCTGGTCTACAAAGTGAGTTCCAGGACAGCCTCCAAAGCTACAGAGAAACCCTGTCTTGAAAAACCAAAAAAAAAAAAAAAAAAAAAAAGCCTGACCTGTTTGCAGACAATCTTCCCTTCTTTTTTTTTTTTTTAAATTTTATTTTCCAGTTTAAATTTAGATAAGAATCAAGGTTGCTTCACAAGTCAGTTCCAGGTCCCTCTCCCATTCCCTCCCTTCCTCCCGTGCCCTCCCCCCCCCTCCCCCCCCCCGTTATCCCCTCATTTCTCCAGGGAGGGTGAGGCCCTCCATGGGGGTGTCCATAGTGTGTCATTTCATATAGGGCAGGGCCTAGACCCTTTCCCAAGAGTTCAGGGTGAGAGTGCGCCTCACATTGTTCTATTGGAGTCCAAAGTCTTCCCTTCTTTTTAAGCAGAGACATGGAGGCCTGTTAGTGTCTTGACCCCTCGCCTCAGTATTGGGGTAGAAAGGTTTTGCTTTGTGGTCATGTCTGTTGCCTCTTGAGTGTGTTGTGTCAGTAAGGGGCGGCTCTGTTGGCTGAAGACTTTCCCCAGTCAGAGCTTGGATACCCTAGTTGAAATGGTGTTCCTGTCTTGTCTTTTGACTCCAGGGACCCACCTGCTGGTCCTTCTGTCATAGAACACTCATGTCTGTGGCTGGGTGGTGTTGAGAGCCCTTGGTGTTTTCCCATTTTGTCCATGTGTCTGGATTCTTTGCATTTCTGTATGGTTCCAGCATGAGCTCTCCAGGTTCTTGGTGTGGTGTGAGGTGACGGACCTACAGGTCAGTTTGCAGTCTCGACAGGGCAGTGTCAGGTGGCTGTAGACAGCATGCCTGACTTTCCCTTCAGGCCTTGCCTCTGGTCAGTTTTGTTCTGTGGCCTACACAGTAGCAACCCTATACACGCTGTGTTTACAAGCCCTCCTTTGTGAGGATGTGCGAGATAGAGATTTGTAAGATTTTGTGCAGGACCTCTGGCTTCTTTGGACCCTGCAATGGCTCCTGGGTTCCTGTAGTGACATGTTAAAGAAACCCATCTAAGATTGTAGCTTCTCTCTCTCTCTCTCTCTCTCTCTCTCTCTCTCTCTCTCTCTCTCTCTCTCTCTCTCTCTCTCTCTCTCTCTCTCTTTCTGTCTCTCTCTCTGTCTCTGTCTCTCTGTCTCTGTCTCTCTGTCTCTGTCTCTGTCTCTCTCTCTCTCTCTCTCTCTCTCTCTCTGTTTTGTTTTGTTTTGTTTTTTTAAGGCAGGGTTTCTCTGTAGCTTTGGAGCCTGTCCTGGAACTTGCTCTGTAGACCAGGCTGGTCTTGAACTCAAGAGAGATCCGCCTGCCTCTGCCTCCCGAGTGCTGAGATTAAAGGCGTTTGCCATCACTGCCTGGCTGATTGTAGCTTTTCTTAATTTTATAAATTACTTTTGCCTCCATCTGTGGAGCTCATGCTAGTCACTGGAAATGCCAGGTCAGCTTTGGAAGCCTATGTTAATTGGGAAGAATCAAACCTTTGAGCAGGTTGTCCTGAGCAGGGTCTGACCTGTCCTGGCTGAGCAGGGGCTGCCTGAGTGACCTGTCCTGGGTGACTTGTCCTGAGCAGGGGTTGTCCTGGGTGACCTGTCTTGGGTGACCTGTCCTGAGCAGAGCAGGGCTATTTCTCATTGGTGGGTTTAGGATGGAGCCCTGCTGTACCTGTGCTCTTCAGGTGCTTGAGGTCTCTTGGGCTGTGCAGGGTAGAGCTGGATCAGTCTCTCACTATGGGCACAGTAAGGGGCTGTTGCCCAGGACAGGGGCTCTGGCTCCAGCCGTGCCTGAGGGAACCCTGTGACCTGGCTGCCATCTTGGGAATCCGAGGCTATGTGTCCTGGGAAGGTGAGAACCCTGTGCTTTTCACGGGTGGGCTGTCCTCAGACCTCTGTCCCAGGTGCTCACCAGTTCCTGCTCATACCAGGAAGCCCCTTCGGCTCGGAAGTAGTCATTCAGTCAGCATCCTACAGCAATCTCCTTCCATTTTGGTGACTCCAATGCCCTTGTTCTCTGAAGGAGTTTCGGACGTGGCTGAGGGAGGAGTGGGGCCGCACGCTGGAAGACATCTTCCATGAGCACATGCAGGAGCTGATTCTGATGAAGTTCATCTACACCAGTCAGTATGAGTGAGTCAGGGCCTCTGTGGTGCTGTGAGTGCAGTCTCTTGGTACTGTGAAAGTGGTGCACCTCACTGTAGGTGTGAGTTCAGCCCTCTCTCTGCATGAGTGTGGCCTGCTCCCATTCTGTGGGTACCATGAAGGCAGTCCCCCCTCTCTGGGTACTGTGAACACAGTTGTTTCCCTTCTTTGATACCGTGAATTCAGTTCTCCCTTTTCTGTGTGGGTACTGTGGACTTAGTCCCCCTTCCTGAAAGTATGGGTATTGCAGGTCCCCTCTCTCTGTGGGTGCTGTGAGCACACCCCTGTCCTTCACTCCTACTGGTATGATCCCCAGTATAGGCATCAAATGGCCAGTGTGTGTCAAATCCAGGTGGCCCTAGGAAGCCTAATCTTAGCCTCCCCCTGGCCTCTGGCTCCATGCCTGGCCAGGACCCCTCATAGTGTTATGGGCATAGGCTCCTTTCCTGAGGGTAATGGTGAGCTGGCTGTACTCGTGGGCTTGCCCTGCTACATAGGCCCTGAGGGTGCACCTTGGTACCAGGAGTGCTGTGCCCAAGGGCCGGCGGCTAATGGCTTAGCCAAGGGGCTGCCTAGGCATGGAGGACACCTGTCCAGTCAAGCTGAATCCCTTGTTTCTTCTATCCATGCCTCTGCAGCAACTGCCTGACCTACCGCCGGATCTACCTCCCACCCAGCCATCCCGATGACCTCATCAAGCCAGGCCTCTTTAAGGGCACCTATGGCAGCCATGGCCTGGAAATTGTAATGCTCAGCTTCCACGGGTCACGTGCCAGGGGCACCAAGATCACGGTGGGTGTACTATTGCTTCACAGCCACTGTGAGCAGTGGTGGGCAGGCATGGGTCCACCATGCTCTAGAGACGCAGGAGTCAGTGAACAGGACCCTGCCAGCGCTGGGCATGCTGATTTTCAGACCCTCTCCAGCACTGGTGACCCAGACTTCCTAGGTTCTACCTGGAAAAGGGACCCCAGGCTGCCTAGCTAACATCCTTGTGCAGCCTAAGCAGGCAGCCTCACAGCTCATGTAGTTTGGTCACGTTGTGTTCTGGGCTGGGCTCTGAGCCTCAGATAAGCCCTTCTTCCCGAGCTCTGAAGAGCTGTCTGCACATGCGGCTGCTCCTTGCCAGGGCCTCTTTGCCACCACCTGTCACTGAGTTCTGGGGGGTGGGTTTTAGGTGGTCTTACTGTGTCCTGAGCAGCAAAGCCTCCGTCAGGCCCTTCTGTGGGAGAAACTCCACACAAATCAGGATGGGATCCAGAACCAGAATCTTTGCTGATATCAGAGTCCTCCCCTGGGGTTTTAACATCCCACCACCAGAATGGCTGGGTGGAGGAGGTGGGAGCTTCCCCCAGTCAGGCTCAGGAACTATTGCAGGCAGACTAGCTCGAGCTGAGCGTCTGGCCCGCTAGACCCTGGGAGGGTCCACATGCCTCACAAGTGGAATCTCTAGGCACAGGGTCACATGTGTGGGCCTGCACCCCCAGTGGGCATCCCACGTCACTCATTCCTGCCATGGCCGTTTGGGAACTGACTTATTAAGGAAGCCTCAGCCTCCGAACCTTGTAGGTGCTGCCGCAAAACCTGCAGAGCTTGAGCATGCTTCCAGTGGCTCTCCCAGCCCTGCTTACTGCCACCTGTCCTCTCCGCAGGGCGACCCCAACATCCCTGCGGGGCAGCAGACTGTGGAGATTGACCTACATCGCCGCATCCAGCTGCCGGATGTGGAGAACCTCCGTAACTTCAACGAGCTCTCCAGGATTGTCCTGGAGGTCCGAGAGCAGGTGCGGCAGGAGCAGCAGGAGGCTGGCGAGGACCCTGCCCCACCCCGGGAGCCTTCAGCCAAGGGCCCCGATGGGCCACATGCTGGTGACAGCAGAGAACCCGGCAGTGGAGCTGAGGCAGCCGAGCAGTCGGCCTCATCTGGACAAGGGCAGCCATTTGTGTTGCCCGTGGGCGTCAGCTCGAGGAATGAGGACTATCCCCGCACTTGCCGGCTCTGGTGAGGCCCAAGGGCCCGGCGCTCAGCCAGCACAGCTTCCGGAGCTTCTGGGAGGGTGGGGGACCCCTGCCTCACGGTGTAGAAGTCTGTCTTTAGATGTCTTGTTATGTGGGGGTGGAGGGGTGCATGTCATGGTCAGAGGACAAGTGTGGAGTCAGTTCTCTGCTACCTTTATGTGGGATCCAGGGACTGCACTCGGGTTGTCAGGCCTCATAGCCTTTACCCATGGAGCCATTTTGCTGGTTCAAGGTCTGTTTTTGGCTCTTGGATTCAGCTCCTGTGGTGGTGATAGGGGAGGGGCGTGTATGGCAAAAGCAGCTCACATGTAGACCAGGGAGCAGAATATAGGCCAGAAATGGGGATCAGGCTGTCCCCAGGAAACTCCTTCCTACAGCTAGGCCCTACCCACCGAGGGCTCCACAGTCTTCCAGAACAGCAGCATTCAAACCAACACTGTAGATCAAACAAACACCCTTTCTAGAAGGGCATAAGGTGGGATTTCCAAGAGCCTTCAGGACATGGGGCCACTTCAGGCTCAAAGGATGACTTACTTGGTTAGCCAGGTAAAAAAGAAACAAAGAAAATGCCCCACAGATTTGGCAAGTGGGTAGAGAGCAGGGGAGAGTTGTCCTGCAGTGTGCCAGGGTATCCTATAGGTGGTGCTGCCATATGCATCTAACATTGCTTGGTGAGTGCAGTTCATGAGGCTCTTTGATTTCTTTCTTGTCTCTCCCCTCACTACTGCCTGTCTATGCTGCCTTTGGTCCCTTGGTGGTTTTTGTCATATGTGCCAGAACTGGTGAGGGGTCATCCCTGTCTTCCCTGCCCACCCCTGCAGGTGGTGGGCCACTGACCTGTAACTCAGCCAGCTCACACCTCATTGACTTCTGCTCTTAGACTTTAGCCCTAACCACTGTCGTCAGCTCATGTTGGGCCCACCCTCGTCAGTCAGGCCATTCTGCAAAGATGAATAAAGGCCAGGCACCTGCACTCTGAGGCAGGAAGCCTTTGTGGCCCTGTCTAGGCACGATGGCCATTGATTTACCGCCCTGGAGAAGGACTTGCTCTTCCTTGTCTCAGAAGCCTCTGATGCATAGCGCTGTTCTCTCTGCTCTCCTGAGCAGCCTCAGTCAGTAAATGTGCCTGGGTGCAGGGAGAGGCATGGGAGGGCTCCTGGTGGCCTGTCTGGCACTCCTACTTCAGTTGCTACAATGTAATATGGGCCACAAATAGGCAGATCTTGGTCTCTTGCACACAGACTACCTAAGTGGCTCAGAGCTCTCAGAGCACCATGTTCTTAGCAGAGTTCAGTCAGGGACCTGAGCCCGACCCTGTAAGACATGGCTCTCCTTGCTCGGGCATTACCTGTTGGTTGTTGTGGTGTGGCTGTGGGGCTGTGGAAATGCCTAGCACAGTGTGCACTGTGTGTGTCCCATGTGGTGTGGGCTCCTGCTCTCGGGGCACTTGCTGATGGCTTGTTTTCTTGTCTCTCTAGTTTCTACGGCACAGGCCTCATTGCTGGCCATGGCTTTACCAGTCCTGAGCGCACTCCTGGTGTCTTTGTCCTGTTTGATGAGGACCGCTTTGGGTTTCTCTGGCTGGAACTGAAGTCCTTCAGCTTGTACAGCCGAGTCCAGGCCACCTTCCAGAATGCCGATGCACCGTCGCCACAGGCCTTTGACGAGATGCTCAGGAACATCCAGTCTCTCACCTCCTGACCTCCACGTGGGCAGAGAGGCTGCCCTGGGGCCCGGGGTGGGGGAAGCATGCACTTGGGAAATGAACGCACACCTCCTCACTAGGGTCCTGGTTGCCCCGAGACACTTCTTGTATAGTGTGTAACATACTCTTGTATATTTGATTTGTCGGTAGCTATGAAGGAGAGCATTAAGTATGGTGGGAAAGATAGTGGAGCCTGCGTGAATCTGACAAGCTACTGGCTGTGGCACAGAGAATCAAATGGATGCCTACAGGTTCTCTTAGAGAAAGTGAATGAGGAAGGCTGGAGTCGGGAGATGCCAGCCAGAGAGGGCTATGACACAGCCTCCATGGATCATGGGAGGGCGCTGTGCTGCACCCATTCCCTTGAATGACCTAAACAGTTGCAGCTGAGAGGCAGCCTCAGCGGAATTGTTGGAGTATCAGGCACAGGAACCCAGATGGTTTCCATTCCCTCACTAACTTGCTTAGACAAGGGCATTCTCCCATGACCTGTTTTCCTGTCCTGGTTGATAGGATCCACCAAGGAGTGTCACCGCAGTCTCCATCCTGGCCCCTTGCTGTCCTTTGTGTCACACCCGCTCCAGTGTGAACTAAGCTGTCAGGCCAGCCGCTTGTCCCCAGCAGCCACGCACACTTCCCTGGTCCTCCACACATACAGTGGAGAGCTGGCACTGCCTATCTGCCAGTAGGGCCTGCCCTGGCTGGACGCCACGTCCCTGTTGTTTTCATTTTTTGACTGTGCAGGTGCCTCTCACAGTGCTGATGGCATCAGCAGAGATGCTTGTGACGGCCTTCATCGGCCAAAGGGAGAGGACAGCTCCTTAGACAGTCATACTTCTGCGGGGAGCGTTGCTAATTGAGGACTCACCTGGTCAGAGACCCTGAGTGCTGGGACATGCTGGCATCTGTATTTGGGAACCCTTTTTGAGGCCAACATTAGTGTCTCCTAAAGGGCAGAGACCAGGAGCTCAGAGCAGCACTTCCAGTGTTGAGCAGACTTGTAGGCTGCCTCTTCCCCCTTGGCCGCTCATCCCTGAGGGTTGCTGTAAGCCCTCATACTCAGTGTTCAGAACTCATCCTACTGGCGAGAGACCTTAGAAGGGTGCAGTCACACGAGGATGGCCATATCTTCCCCTACAATGGCAGGTCCTTCCTGCCAGAAGGGCCTGAAGACTTGGGGGGCAGTGTAGCAAACGACCCTTGTGAACTGGTTTTGGGATGCTGGCTTTCTGTTGAGTGCAGTAACAACCTGCAGTGAGCTGCCGGGGCTGTGTCCTGACCCTTAGCAGCTTTTGCAGGATTGAGTTCCAGCCTTTTGTTACTTCCTTTGTTAGTCATGAGTGTTTCCGTTGTGTCAAATGAGGCAGGCTCTGGACTGAGGACTGTGACTACGAAGCTGCAGGCACACTGGGGACAGTTGGACAGTTGGGCATGCCAATGGCTGCTCCTCTGGTTTACTGTGTTTGGAGAAAATCAAGAATACATTTTACCCAGGCCCCGAGGCTTGCTGTGAGGGTGCTGTACCAGAATTTTATTGTGTCCTCAGCCACTTCCAGTTAAGGAGGGACAATCACACATATTAGCCAGCTACACACTGGCTTTCCTAAACACATGCCCCATTTACTGCAGGCGAGTGTTGATATGGGCTAAGATTACTGTAGGATGTAGGTGAGACGGTACTGTCTAGTGTAGGGAACAGCCGGGCCCAGGTTCTCTACAGGCAGCAGATACCTTTGTCTCTGGGCCTCCCATATGAGCACTGTTGGCTGGCCTTGTCATTTTGCTGCTCAGGCTGTGTAGTTGGTGGAAGTCAGAGAGAAGGCCTCCTGTGGGTTTGCACACTTGGCCTGCTCTGCTGTGTGCAGTTGAGGCCAGGCACAACCTTAGGAAGTTTTTCTAGTAGGGACAGCTCTTTTGCATGAGGATGTTGCTGGTATCTGTTTAGGACCTGATGTGTTCGGCCCTGATGCAGTGTCAGGACATTGGCTGCCATTTCTCAGATGTCTAACATCTGCAGTCTGGGAGTTCTAGACTCCTTGCTGTGGTCCTGACTCACCTTGTGTCCCTCTGGCATCAGCTGCCTGGCTGTTTGGGGCATGTGTTCAGACCCTGGGCCTCTCTGCTCTGGGCTGTCAGCTCTGCAGCATCCCTGTACCTCCTCTTGGGTCCTCCCTGTCGCTGCATGTCTACCAGTAGAGTGGGTGTTTGGCAGTGGCTTCTGGCCAGATGCTGTGCCGGCCAGTCCTTCCTCACATCATGCAGTGAGCTCGGAGGCACTTGCTTGTTAGACTTCACCAACTTGGGAGCTGAGCACTGCTGTGGCTAGGCAGCCAGGGCTCCGCCCCAGCTGCTGGCTGTCTATCCCAGCCCTCCAGCGGCTCTCTCTGGTTGCCAGGCTTGCTGGGAACAACACACCACTCATCGTATGTTCACTTTTTAGTACTTATGGGCACTAGTGGAGAGATCCACCCTCCCCGGCTGTCAGGACCCCTTCGTCCCTATTTGGGGCTCCTTTCCTAGTGATGCCATCATGCAGCTGACCTGTAATTTGATGCTGGCCAGCCCATCTGGGTGTGCTGAGCCCCTTCTGCTCCCCACCTTTCTGTCCTGATTGGGAAGAGTTCACCTCCTCATCCTCAGGTCATCCATCAGCCATTTGCTGTTATAGACCAAGTCTGTGGTTCTGGGGAAGAGTGGGATAGATGTCTCCTCGGAGAAGCTGTAAACAGGAGGGCATGGTTTAGAACTTGTGTATGAGACCCTGGCATCATTCACAGCCCCTTGGCCTGTATGGCCAACCTCCAAAGAGGGGCTTGGTGGTGGGCAGTGACACTGAAGGCACCTGCAGGACAGTGTCCTTGGCTGGATCCTTTGTGTTTGCATGGAGACCAACAAAACCGGCATAATGTGCTTTACTGACCCCATTACTTGTGCTCACAAGCCTGTTTGGAAACTGTGGTTTGTCTGGAACGCCTCCAAGCTCCGGGCAGAGGGTGGCTCTTAAAAGCCTTCTCAGGTCAGCTTAGCTTGGCTTAAAGTCAGGGAAGGGCCCTAAAAAAGTAGCTGCTGTGTGCCTGGTGTCTGATGTCACCTGTGACACACCTGTCACGCTCACCTAGGACGTGCGGTTGTTTCTCCTTTCAGTTTTCAGTAAACCTGTTTTTGAAGCCTTGTTGTGGGCCTTGTGATTTGTTTCTCTGGGGGGTTATTAAGATGGAGATGGGGGCTGGGCCTTGGTGGCACACGCCTTTAATCCCAGCACTCGGGAGGCAGAGGCAGGTGGATCTCTGTGAGTTCGAGGCCAGCCTGGTCTACAGAGTGAGTTCCAGGACAGCCTCCAAAACAATACAGAGAAACCCTGTCTTGAAAAACAAAACAAAACAAACAAAGATGGAGATGGGGGCCCCCAGGAGGGGTGTTTGGGACTGTGCATAATCACACACGCACACACACTTAAAATTTTTATCTATGTGTTTTGCATCACACACGTCTGGTGTCCGAAGAATTCAGATGTCAGATTCCCTAACACTGGATTTACAGATGGTTTTGAACTGCCATGTGGGTGTTAAGACCCAAGCTCCAGCCCTCTGCAAGAGCAGCAGTGCTCTTTGCTGCTGAGCCATCTCTCCAACCCCCTACACTGATCTAAAGCAAAGCTTCAGCTTTTGCAAATGAGGATGAAGAATCAAGGTGATTCCTTGGAGTTCAAGAAAATATTGACTTGTGTCCTTGTCTCTGCCCAGCGCCCCTGCATCAGGGTGAAGGACAGTTATGCCCTTGATGTTCAGACTGTCAGTATTGTGCTAGGCATCTACAGCTAGGTGGCAGCTTTGAGAACTCTGATGCCACCTTGAAGGCATGGCAGGCAGGGTCTAGGGCCAATGTGCATAGATTACTGTTGCATTATGGGATGTTGGAAGAGGTACAGTATTATGTTTATGTAAAACGTAAGAACAAAACAGCTTTATTGGACTGATTGACACATAAGCTTCGGCTTCACAAGCATGAGAATCTGAGTTCAGATCTCCAACACCCTGTAATCCCAGTCCTTGGGAGGCAGTAACAGGACCCCATGGGGGTCTCTGACTAATGAGTGAGCTCTGGGCTCAATGACATAACCTGACTTATAAAGTAAGGTGGAGGGGTCAGTCAAGCGGCTTAGTGAATAAAGGTGCTTGAGCTATCAGGGACTTGAGTGTTGATCCCTGGGATCCATAATAAACAAAACCCAGATGCCATGGTTGGGGTCTAATGCCAGCATTCCATCGGAGGACAGGTGAAGGCAGGAGAATCGGCTGGAAGTTCATGTATGCTGCAGAAGTGAAGAGCCAACTCAGCAAAGCTACTCTGACCAACCACATGAAGTAGAGAGCAGAGCGCCATGCCATGCGGCTGGCGGGGACAGGACTCAACTAGGAGCCACCTGGTGCCTTTGGCACTGGGCAGGCAGACATCATTATGGTGGGCGAGTACAAGGTGGGGAGGTGGAAGAGAGACGTGGGATGGTCCATGGGCTGGGGGAGGCAGGCCTGAAGAGGTGAGTGTGGTGAGAAACAGGCTAATGTGAGTGGCCTGCTTGCCACCTGAGTCCAAGGTGATGTCTGGGCCTGGGCTTTTGCTAATGGCCAGTGTTGGTCTGAGGCCCTGAAACATCTGAAGAGGCATGAGCTGATATCTGTGGCTCCTGTCATCACTGAGGGCTGTGCAGAGGCCTATAGTCTGTGCTGCCACCTGGGGCCAGGTTGGTGTCCAAGAGCCATGTTGCCACAGGGGCCATGCCGATCTGAGAGGCCTGCACTGGGGCTATGGTGACATCTAGGCCAGGGCTGCTGCCAAGGACCATGTCTGGGTCCATGGTTCTACCACAGCTGGGGTCTGTGTTATGTCTGGTGGCCCATGTTACCACCAAAGGCCACATGGATGCCCAGGGTCTAGGTTACAATCTGTGACCATGTTGGTGTCTGAGGGCTGTGCTGCCACCAGGGACATGCCGATTTGAGTGGCCTGCATTGCCGCCATGGTGACATCTGAGCCCGGGCTGTGGTTTCAGGCCATGTCTGAGTCCAGGGTCCCACCACAACCAGGGTCTGCATTGATGTCTGTGACTCATATTGCCACCAAAGGCCACATGGATGCCCGGGGTCTAGGCTGCAACCTATGGTCTTGTGGGTAATGTAGGTGTCCAGGGCCCATGCTGCCACCAGGGCTGTGCTGATCTGAGCGGCCTGTGCTGCTGCTGCGAGCCATGTATGGGTCTGTGGTCCTGCTGTGCCTGGGGTCTGTGTTGATAACCATGGCTCCTGTTACCATGGCGGGGTGGGGGTGGTCACAGAACCCAAGAGTGTTGAAATCCAAGGGCCCTGCTGAGCTGGTCCCATCCCTCACTGGTCCTGGAATAGCGCCCCCCTGCAATTAGGAAAAATGGTCCCACCTTTAACCATGCATGTGCACCTCACCTGGGCAGCTCAGTAGAGCTGACCCTGTTGTTGGAGATGCAGGTGAGCTGACCCCGCCCCCACCCTTACCTGACATGTGGTGGCATATGTTTGAGGGAAAGATGCCCCCCCCACCGCCTGAGGAAGGAAAGAAGCTGACTCTGGGGTCACAGAGTGAGAGAACTGGCCCTGCCCCTTGTCAGCTGCCCCACACAGGAGCGCAGACCCTGCACCCTGACAGGGCAGCACACTGGAGCTCACCCTGTTGTTAGTGGCTCAGGTGACCTGGCCCTGAGGGGGCATGAGAGCAAACCCCCCCCACATGCCCCGGCAATCAAGAGAGAGAGCCCTGCACCCTCGCCTGGGCAAGACAGTGGAGCTGGCCCTGGTGGTATGCTTGTGGGTGAGCTGGACCTGAGGCCCCAGAGCAAAAGAATGGCTCCACCCACTTCCTGCTGCAGGCTGGCTGCTCTGGGTGGGCTAGCCAAGGCAGTGCCAGAGCGCTCACCTGGGTAGTGAAGACCAGGGAAAGCTGGCAGGCTGACCAGCCCAGCTACTGCCCAGGCCCAGGGCTGTGGGATGGCCCACCCCAACACCCACCTCATCTAGGACCTGTCGGAGCAGGTGAAGGGGACAGCCCTGCAGGACCAAAGCTGCAGGACCTCTGACACAGGACAACAGCACAGCAGGGTATCCAAGAGAGGCTCCAGTAAGAGCCCATTATCGACGGCGCAGCAGTAGCTAGAGGTCTCAAGCCCGGCCAGTGGCTCATGGGAACCAAGCACTTGCAAGTGAAGATGAAAGAACTAAAGAGTAAGCCGCCTGTCTTAACAGGCCCCGCGGCAGCTTCCACAGCCGGGTTCTTCCGTTTTGTTTTGTGAACTTTCTTTTGTTTTGGGGGGGTTTGCAAGGATGGAGGGCAGATGCAGGAGGGTGGGGAGACGGGTGGGAACAGGATGCACGATGTGTAATCTGCAAAGAATCAATGAAATTTAAAAACATTTATTCACGTTATAAGTCTGAGTTGGCTTTATGATTAAAATGTTTTAACTATTATTAATAGTGGAGAGCACTAGAGGAAGACACTCATAATGTCAGCCTCTGGCCTCCACAAACATGTGCGGCCACGCACACACAACAGGTACACACACAGATGGAACACAATATTTAAAACGTTACTGCTGCTTTGTGGGCACTGTGGGGTCTCTGCCCCACAGGGGCGGAGCTGCTGTTGCAGGTGTACCAGAGAAGCAGAAGCCATCTGTGGCCTCCTGTCAGAGCAAGACACTGGTGTCCACCTGGGGAAGTGTGTCTGGTGATGGCAGACTGGTGTCTCCACACAGCTCTCTGAAATAGTTCCCACAGGAGTGGGGTGACACTAGGCAAGTTGTCTACCTTTGAGGTGCAGCCCCAGGTCTGAAATACCTCAAAGCAGAGTATCCGGTGGCCCTACCTCTTCTCTTTCCTGAGTCTGAACTTGGGCCTTTTGTCTCATGAGAAACAGCAGTCAGCCATGAGTGCAGGGCTGGATTCTTCCGGGAACTGAGACTGCAGATGGGGCTCATGGAGGGGTCATGATCTGTCACTTCGCACTGATGTAGCCTACTTCCTGTTTTGGGTGTCTAAGTAGCTCTCCAATCTCCAAGTCACAGAATTTTTGTCAATATGATGCCTCAACCATTCCTTTCAAGGAGGTTGTGGTGTGACCTCTAGCGGGGACTCAGGGTCACTGCAGCCCACATACCTGAGCAAAGATGACACTTGGAGAGCTTTTACAGCCCTGACTGTGGCTTTCAAGTCCACAGGCGGTACAAAGTAGTGTCCTATGTCCTCAGAGGAAGCTGCTATGTGGTGAGGACATTCCCCGTCCTCTTCCAAACAGGGAAGATGTCTGACCCCTTGTCCTGCTTCACCTTTATCTGGAAAGGAAGGTGCCTCCGCCACCTCCTACCTGGTAACCCAGGGTGTCTGTCTGTCTGCATCCCTCCAGGCAGTGTGCTCCTTGCAGTTCCCTGGCGGGGTGCTGGCCAGGGAGAACCTCCCCTGCAGCTCCAAATGCTGGTGGAGGAGTCCCGTCTCACAGTGTGGGGGCGTGGATATAGGTGGGAGAGGAAGCAGAAACTCAGGGACGGATCTTTTGTTCAAGGCTACAGAGCTAGTAACCTTTTCAAATAGACGAGCCTTATCAGAGACCTCTGGATAGTAAGACTGTCTGTGTGTTCCCCTCATGTAGCCCAGGGTGACCTTGAACTCTTTACTTTCTTGCCTCTGCCTTCCGAGTGCAGGCATGTGCAAACTACTCCTGTCCAGTTAGAAAATGTCTTATTTATAGGCCAAACACTGGGGATTAAATCCAAGGCCTTGCATAAGCTGGACAAATGCTGTACCACTTACTGAGCTACTGTCTCCAGGGACTGCATGGAATTTATTTACTTATTTTTTGAGTTGAGGGCCACAAAAGGCCTACAGTGGGGAAAGAATGTTGTCAACTTCTAGATCTAAACTGACCTATAGTTCCCCACTTTCCCTCTTCCGGAGTGTCCAGTGCATGCACTCACAGGGAGTTCAGTCCACTTCTCAGAGCCATTTCTCAACTTGTTTCCATTATTATCCCTTCTAAGGAGCCATTTTAGACATGTTTTAACAAGTGCTTCCATGGGGAGCATGAATATGATAGCATGTCTCTAAACAGATGAGGCTGGCTTGAAACGCATGCTCTTGCTTCTTCAGTCTCTCCAGTTCCGGGATAACAGATAATAGTACAAGCTGTTATCTGTCTGTGCTTTATATTTAGAAGGGGGAGACTGGGCTGTTCACTTACAGCCATCTTTCTATGGAAGTCATTTCCCTGTTGAGACTATATACCTGCCTGTGTTGGGGTTTCCTCACCCTGATGCACCTGTCACTCAGGTTCATGGCTGAGTACTCTGGTGTGTAACTCATAGGTTGTCTTTCTCCTGCTAGTGGACCTTGGGTTGTTTGCAGTTGGATTTTTTTTGTTGTTGTTGTTGTTTGTTTTGTTTTTTGAGACAGGGTTTCTCTGTGGCTTTGGAGCCTATCCTGGCACTCGCTCTGTAGACCGGGCTGGCCTCAAACTCACAGAGATCCGCCTGCCTCTGCCTCCCGAGTGCTGGGTCCTCCCCGAGTGGGGAGGTGAGTTCCCAGGGAGCAGTTTAATGTTTTATGAGTAGTCATATATTCCCAGGCATATCTTTTACGTGAATAGGGTCTTCAGAGTGGGAGAGGCACTGTGGGGTCACAGCCTTAAGAACCTGCCCAGGGCTGAAGAGATGACTCACTGGTTACGAGGACGGGTGGTTCTTGCAGAGGACCTAAGTTTTGTTCCCAGCACCCACATGGCAGCTGGCAGCCATCTATAACTCCAGTTTCAGGGGTTCTAATGCCCTCTTCTGGCACCATGGGCACCGTATGCATGTGGTGCACATACATACATGTAAGCAAACAGACACATACAATAAATATGTAAAAAACCAAATCCCGCCTAGGTCTGATAGTGGCTGCACCGTCTTGCTTTACACCAGCACAGGAGAGAGTGTGCTTTCCCCTAGCCTTGCAGCCTCTCATTGCTCCTGGGCATTTTTACCTCAGTTATCTTTACAGGCTGCAGCGGTGCCCACTCATTAATGGCCAAGGTATGCACACCTGAATAATGGCCATGCATAATAAGATGTTTGTTCAAGGCCTCTGCACTGTCCCTGCAGAAAACACCAGGTGAGAAGGGTGGGAGGGAGGGAGAGGACACAGGAGCCAGCTGGGTAGGGAACCCTGGGGCTGCAGACTAGGGACAAAACCATGTGGGCCAGAAGCTGACCTGAGCTGGGTCATGGCCCTGCCATCCTGCAGAGAATGGTCTACGGGTGTGACGGGCACCGAAGCAGCTGCTGTGAGGCCTGGAGGTATGGGTTCCTAAGTGTCAAGGTATGGGTGAGGAGCTAGGGAGGGCTGGCTGTGGAGCAGAGCTGAGGGAAGAGTTGACCGTTAGGCTGATTCACTTGCCTGTGCATCAGTGGGCTATGAAGGCTGCTGCCTGGGTCCCCCAGTCCGTGGCTAAACTCTGGAGCCTGCTGCATGGAGCTGCTGGGTCGCTCAGCTGACACCAGGTCAGGACAGCTGCTGCCGGCTCAACAAGCATCCACTGGAGCCCTGTGATGGGTGGACCTTTTGAAGGCGACCACTCAGAAGTCTCCACAGAGCTCTCCGCACCCCGAGCCTAGCACCTCAGACCTCATTCCCGTCCATTTCTGCAGTCCTTGGGCCTGTGCTGCCCTTCTGGAGTCAGCAGAGGACAAGGGCTGCCTGAGAGGGACGGCCTGGCCTATCATCACCGTGGAGCTTCTGTTCCCAGCATTCCACAGTTCCATTGGAAGTCTGGCTCCCACAGAGCATCATGGTTGTGGGGGACGCAGAGGGTGCACAGGCAAGTAGGTGGCCACTTCTCCCAGATATTTCACAGGGAGCCCTAGGGCCATGGGGGGCAGGGTGACAGGCATTTGGGAAGTAGCAAGTTATTAGAGCCTGTGTGGGCCTCTTCCCTTTCCTGCTCTGATGACAGTGAGGAAGATGATGGTGACACCATATCCCACAGCATATTGGGGGAGGATGGAGTGAAGGAAGACCAGCCATAGCCACTGAAAGAACGTGCCGCCACTGGAGACAGGGAGGAAAGGGTGGTGATGATACCAGTGACCCCAAGAGGAAAAGGTAAGAGCCAAGACAGCAGAGCTGAAAGTGTCTGCCCTTGGGATGGTCACAATACCACAGTCAGAGAAAGAAGCTAAGACCCCCTCATAGCAAGGGCACCAGGCAAGAAATGTAAACTCAGCACTCAGGAGGCAGAGGCAGGTGAATCTCTGTAAGTTCAAGCCCAGCCTGGTCTACATAGCTAGTTCTAGGACAGTCAAGGCTACACAGAAAACCCCTGTCTTGAAAAACCAAAACACCACCACCAAAACCAAACAAAAACAAAAAATCCACCTTAAATTAAAAAAAAGAAATGTAAACTGACACTGGTCAGAGACACTGGGGTGAACTTGCCCTAGAACCTTCCAAAGTCCAGCTTGAAAGACCTGGAAAGTGTCCCTCCCCAGCAGGGGAATGTGTTCTTAGCATTTTGTTTTCATTTTTCTGCCTTCCTTCCTTCCTTCCTTCCTTCCTTCCTTCCTTCCTTCTTTCCTTCCTTCCTTCCTCCCCCCATCATTCTTTTGAGACAGACCTGGAATTCTTGGCAATCCTCATACTCTCAAGTAGTTTCTGTGCTCAACCTCCTGAGCAGTCAGGGTGACATCTCTCCTGCAGCTTGGACATCTAGCTGTGAGCTTGCTCTACCATCCAGTGTGGCTGTGGAACTATTCTCCTTTCTCGCATCCTCAGAGTTTTCTTTTTGTTGAGTTGCTTCCCGTTGTTTATTAGCTGAGGTCCAGCACGCAGCTGCATCAGTCAACACACCTGAATGCAGGGAAGCTGGTGTGGCCACCCCAGCCCACCATGTCTCTGATTGAGCAGTTTGCCAGCTATGGGCTGCCACTGGTCTGTGGCACAGCTGCAGCAGTCTGAGGCCTAGGGGCCGTGGGACAAGCGCCCTCTTCTTGGTGGATGTGGCTGTCAGAGGGTTGCTGGGAAGAGCTTGCTTCAATCTGGGATCCTCTAGTGGCAGACCCTTCTCATGGGAAGGTGACTCAGTAAACAGATGAGAAGGAAGGCCCAGGGACAGAGATCCAGGGTGACTGTAGGGACGTATTCTAGAGTGACAGCAGGTGTCCACATTCTACTCTTTTGCTAAGGGCAGCCCCGGGATGGGGCTGGAAGGAGCCACCTAGCAGAAGTCTGTTCCCTTCAGCTACCCATTTGCTAATCGGCAGCTTAGTTTCCTTGGTGCTTAACTTCTGCAGTTCTTTGTCAATTTTGTATTTTAACCCCGGCCTGAAGTACGGCTGGATAAGATTTTCTCCCACTCTGTGGGCTGTTTCGGGGTAGGTGAGTGAGATGTGTGTGGCACGCGGATGGTTGTTGGAGGACAGCTTGCGGGAGTACTCGCCTTTCGCCATGTGAGTCTGGGATCGGACTCAGGCAGCAGGCACCCTAGTCTGCCGAGCTATCTATCTCACTGGCCAAGAGCACCAAAGCCCTGGATGGAAACATTTCTTTTAAAGTTACAATTTGCGCTATCTGACGGGTGTGTGAAGTTCAGGGTCACGAAGCTGCCACCCCATTTGATAACAAATGGCTTTGGATAGAAGTGGGACCATTCTGGTCCTACCTCCTCTGTCTCTTTTCAGGGAATCGGGGCAGGGATCGGGACCGGGGTGCCTCGCGCGTGCACAGGACCATCCACAGGAAATGGTGAGTGGTCTCGGGCGGGTTCCACGTCAGCTTGGGCGACGAGAGTCAAGGGAGCGAGAGCCAAGTGTTCAGAGGCCACTCTATCCCATGGTTCCCATCATCCGCAGCTGCGAGTAGCCAATCAGCTGTCAGCTCAGTGCACGACCAATACGGCAACTCCTGATTGGCTGATTGAAGGCCAATCAGTGGGTCCAGCGGGAAGCTGTTGCGAAGCACCCTGACTCTCCAGCCCTTACGAGGACTGTGGACCTCGCCTGGACCTGGTCTGACACGACTGTGTAGCGCATGCCCAGCACAGTGCATCATGACAGATCAGGTCAGCCCAGAGCCTACACAGGTGACCTTGGAGCTCACCTGTGAGTGCCTGGAGCCCCGGGGCTGCCTGGTCCAGCGGTAGCGCAGTGCCAAGGAAACGGAAAGGCGACTTAACTCTTTCCATCCCTGGAAATGTCAGGAGCAGGCCTTCAAGCATGGCTGTATCCAGGTGTGCAAAGACTGTGGCCCCGCATGGTTTCTCCTTAGCCCTCAACTTTCCCTTCTGCTGGCTTCCTTCCCAGGCCGGGGGACCACCCAGACACATATATTTCCTTGTTATTAGGGTAGCTCCTTCATCAAAGAAGGAGGCTAGCTAGCTGCTCCTACTAGTTCCAGCAGGCAGTTCCAAACTTAGTTTCAAGGGTTATGACGCTGTAGTGACCAGTCTCTGAGACCAGCTGGATCTTGCCTCCAGGCTGGGCCGATGTGGGTAGGCTGGATGCTGAGCAGGTCATTCCCCGTGTCTTGTTTTCCGTCATCAGCTAGGAAATGGAGTCCAAAGGCCTGAAGCACACCCAGACACTCTTGCGATCCCAGCACTTGGGAGACTGAAGCAAGAGGATTGCTGTGGGTTCGAGGCAAGCCTGAGTTATATAGCAAAATCCTGCCTCAACCAAACAATAATGATTGTAATGATTATAATGAAACACAAAAACACTCGGATAGTGTGTGCTTTCTGACAGGAAGCAAGCTGACATCTGCTATGGAAGATCAGTTTTGCTTGGCACTCAGTGTCTACACACCAGAGATTCTCATGGCGAACACCCTGAGTGTGAGGCTGGGATCGGGGAAGAGTAACTGTTACTCCAAGAATTCTGTCCTTCTGTGTCCTCTATCCTTTTCTGTCCCCTTCTTCTCTCTGCCCTGTCCCCTGTTCTGTCCTCTGTTCCTCTATGTCTTGTCATGTTTTCCTTGAGGCAAAGTCACCAGGTCTACTGGTTTTGTTGCAGTTTTGACAGGCTCTCCTAAGCCTGTGTATACCCAACAAAGCCTCAATGGAGCCCTGGGACCCTCCTGAGAAATAATCCCGGCCTTAGCTGAAGCAAGTTGGCTTGAGAACACAGGGTACCACACCAGTGGGGGAAGTTGCCACGTGAGTGAGCCTGCCCTTCTGTCACCAGGAAGCACCTCCTGGGCTCAGAAGGAAGACTTCTCCACACTGAGCTTAGTGCCAAGGGTCACCAGTGCCCAGTCTACAGTTTGCACAGAGCCAGAACACTCAGCTGTGTGTTCTTCTTTTCTAGGAAGGGTTCATTTCAGACCTTTGGAAAGGAAGTTTGCATCACGGGTCACTCGGTGAGGACATGCCCTCAGCCTCTTGTCCCTCCTATGGGTGACGGGGGGCAGGGAGGGCAGATGAGAGTCTAGAGCTGGGTCCTGCATAGAAGCATGTGGTTGTATGGGTCATCTCTGTGTCCCCATATCTCCGTGTAGTGTCACCTCCTCCCTTCTAGTCTCCCCCTGAGCCCAGGCACCCCAAGAAATCCAGAAGTCCTTTTAGTGTCTTGTCCTGGCTTCTTCATCTGCCCCATAGAGGGGGTGGTGGCCGCAACACATGGTTAGCACCATGCAGAAAGCCACAGGTATATCAGGGAGTAGTCACCTCCTCCTGGCTCCAGTTGCTCAAATCTTCCATAGACAGACTTGGGCTCAGTGAGGCAGTGCTGAGTGGTCAGGATTCCCCCCAACCTGGCTTGTAGACCCAAGCTGGTAAACATGTACCAGCCTCATCCTGAGCCCCCTGTCCCTTCCCTGGGGGCTGTCCTCCACTCCTGTCACACTTAGTTTCGTCCCCTGTGCCTTGCTCAGGTGCTACCTGGTTAGTCCTGACCTCTGTGTGTCTCGCTCAGGTGTCTCCCAGCCTCCGCACTGTCCTCCAGGAGTACATGTGTTGCCAGTGCTATTCCAGGTTTGGGGGTCACTTGCCTGTGCCCCGGGCCGATGCACTGCTACCCTACTGGGTCCCCCTGTCCCTGAGACCACGAAAGCAGGTAACTAAGTGACTTGGCAGGTCATCGCTTAGGGCCAGGACACATGTCCAGGTCCAAAGCCCATCAGAATCACAGGTATTCTATGACTGAAGTTTCTGGGACACAGTTTTGGTTTTAGCTGTGAGTACTCTCCACTGAGTGACAGTCCCTGCCCACATTCCTCCTCTTTCCTATCTACTACCCCTTTTGTTTGTGTGTGTGTGTGTGTGTGTGTGTGGTGTCATGGTACACTGTGGAGATCAGAAGACTATATTTGTGGGTTGATTCTCTCCTTCAACCATGTGGATTCCATGGATCAAACTCATGTCAGGCTTTGTGGCCATGCACCCTTGCCTGCTAAACCATTTCTTTGGCTTGCATAGCTCTTTTGAGATTCATTCATGTGATGTGTGTATTAGGTCACCCTTGTACCTGCTTCTCTCCTGTGGGTACCATGTCCACTGATAGCTGTTCACTGAGTGTCATGGCATTGACACCCATGGATTGGCGCATGCCCTCATCCTCCAGGGCCAAAGGACCTCAGAAATAACTACTTGGACTTGTGCAGAGAGGTAGAAGGGTGGTTACCACTTGTCCCTGCCACAGGCTTCTAGACAGTTAATGTACCACCCACAATGTGCCAAGAAGTTCTTTGGCCTGTGAGGTCAAAGTCAGCCTAGTCTACATAGTGAATTTCAGGCCAGTCAGGGCTACATAGAAAGACCCTGCCTCAAAAAAAATGCCAATAAGTAAGTTAATTTAAAAAAATAAAGAAAAAGCCGGGCGTTGGTGGCACACACCTTTAATCCCAGTACTCGGGAGGCAGAGGCAGGCGGATCTCTGTGAGTTCGAGGCCAGCCTGGTCTACAGAGCGAGTTCCAGGACAGCCTCCAAAGCCACAGAGAAACCCTGTCTCGAAAAATAAATAAAGAAAGAAAAGGGACCACACAGTCCCTAATTCTTCCCAAACAGTCCCAGCAAGTGCAGACCCAGGAGTCAAACACGGGCTCCTATAAGGGCTGCTCTCATTCCAGCTACCACAAATACCATGCCTGTTTTGAAATATTTTTATTTATTTATTTAGTGTGTTGTGTATGTATGTGTGTGGGGTATGCATATGTGCCAAGGGGCTTATGTAGAACGTCAGAGGACAATTTATAGGAGTTAGTTCTCTTCTTCCACTGTGAGTCCCAGAGATACAGGTGTACAAGTTAGGCAGTGGGTTCCCTTGTCTGCTGAGCCATTTTGCTGGCCTCTGCCTGGTGGTGCTGGAAATGGAATCCAGGTCTCTGTGCATGCTAGGCAAGTACTCTGCTAGCTGTGCTACAGCCTCCCCTATGTAGACCAGGCTAGCTTTGAACTCACAAAGATCCACCTGCTTTCTGAATGCTGTAATTAAAGGCATGTGTCACCGTATTTGGTGCCTCCCTCACCCCTTTGAACCTTTCTTACTGTCCACTGGTAGGTCTCAAAGATGATTCGACGTTATATCCCCAGAGCCATAAGGTCATGTCGTTGCCCCTGCCACTCCTTTGGGGGCTGCCTTCCAATGCCCAAGGATAGGGCTGTTATGCCCTATTGGGTGCCCCAGGGGCTGAGGTCACAGAAGAAGGTAAGAAGGGGGCTTGCGATACAGGGATGAATGAGGAGTGGGAAGGGGAAGAGCCCATGGTGAGGGCAGCTGAGGGCAGAAGGTCACATCCTGAGGACGCTGCTGGGAAGTGCAGGCCTCATCCTCTGAACACAGTGAAGAGCCATCTGGTATCCAGGCTACCACACCTTTCCCTTTTTGCTGTTTCCTCCTCCCTCTTTCTCCCCACCACGCCCTGTGTCCAGCCCCATCTCTCTGTGTCTGTGCAGAGTCCTGCAGGGGTGGCCGGTAGGGACCGTGGCTCTGGGCTTCCTCCCTCTGCAGCCACCTGCACCCCCACAGCTGCGGTTCTAGGCCGTGATGCCCACATTGTCCACATCAGCCTTCCTGTAGCCTGGAGGGCCTTCCCAGCTTTTGGGGCTACTTAGAAGTCTTTTTTTCCTCTTCTCTTGCCTTTCCACTTTTGGGTTCTTCATCACTGAGCAGCAAAGAACTTGGCCCTAAACTGGGAGCCACAACACCCCTGCCCTGAGGTCTCAAGTCCTGATCACTCCCCAACACACTGTGGGTCACTAGATGGACAAACTGACACATTTTCTCATCTCTCAGGTGGTGAAGAGGCTGGAGAATGTTAAAGACACTCCAGGTAACTCCACACCATGTGTCAACTCATCCTGCTCTGGGAAGCAGGCGGGCAAGGACACATAGGTGACTCAACCATCTCCAACCCTTGCCAGGTGTCAGCAGCTGCCTTTTTACAAATGACACAGGTAGACCATCAGTCTTAGCAGTGACAAGCTGGGGCTGATGACGTCTAAGATGGTTTTATTTAAGCTATAAACTTTTGTGATAGAGTTTGAGGCCAGCCTGGGCTACAAGAACTTCTGTGACTTGTGGTATGTAGTGTATGCATATGTTCATTTTTGAACTGGTGTGCATTTCTGATGTGACAGCTCTTATCATACAAACACTCACATGTGTGCATGCCTTACACAATCACAACAGAGTGTGTGTGTGCTGCACAGTGTATTCATATGCTCATGCATGTGACTTGGCATGCATGCATTCCTGCATTCATGATTAATAATGTATGCTCATATTCATGTGTTCAGCATATGTTCATACATGCTTGGCAGCACACTCACACATTGGTGATATGGCCTTCAAACACACCCCCATGGCTCAGATCCCTGGAAGAGACAGACCCTTCTCCATATTACTCATGGTTTTTGAACTTAGTGTCCTGGACTTGATTTGGAAGGCACTACCAGGCTTTGGTCTGATGTCAGGTGCCTTGGTGCATGATGCCAGCTCTGCACAGGAAATCCTGCGTGCAGGATCTGGGTTGGGAATGGCATTCTAAAGAGGCAGGTGCGAGGAGCTTTCAGAGGGAAAGGATGAGAAAGAAGCTCTCAGGAAATGGATAGCCACCATTTCTCGAGACAGGGTTTCCTGGAACTCGCTCTGTAGACCAGACTAGCCTCAGACTCACAGAGATCCGCTTCCCTCTGCCTCCCGTGTGTTGGGATTAAAGGTGTGTGCCACCAAAACCCGGCCAACCTGTTCTTAAAAGTGTAAAAACGTCCTGTTCCCAACCCCAGAAGCAACAATCCCAGAGTTCAGCTTCTTCCAGCCCTGCAGGCACAACTTGAAGGCATAAGGATTTGAATGGAGACATTGTTGGGGACAGCCTGAGGGCACTCAGCACTCTTATCAGTGTTGGGAAATGTCACAGCAAAACCTTGGAGTGACTTGAGCTTGTTGTCTCAGTAAAATAGATAAGCAGTGGGCTGTACATGAATGCAGCACTTACTATGTAGCCACACAATGGACACATCCCCAGGACACAAGGCTCTGGGAAAATCCGGCCCTAGGAAGGTGTCCTTAGAAGTGTTCAAAGTTGAAACCCTGTAGGGTTCAGACGGAGGGCTGAGTTGTGCCTGGAGGGGCAGAGGGTAAAGTGAAGAGAGACTAGACTTTGACCCCAGGGAGGCTTCCAAGAGCAGAGCAGGGTCTGACAAAGCAAGAAACCCATACCAGAACCTTCTCCCAGGAGTGTGAGAGAAACGGTACTGTCCACAGACCCAGTGGTGGCTCCTTGAGGCCTGTTTTCATTGCTTTCACTTAGAGTACTTACATTATCAGGAAAAGTGAATTTGTTGTCAAATTATAGGATTAGCTGATAGACTTTCAAAACCAGTGTTGAGTTTTACTCCAGTCTTGTTTTCACTTTTTTTGTTTTTAGGACCCACTTACCTTTATTTTATGTGTATGAGTGCTTTCATACATGCAGTGCCCATGGAGGCCAGAAAAGGGTATCAGCCCTAGACCTGGAGTTATGGATTGTTGTGGGCCATCATGTGGCTGCTGGGAATTGAACCCTGGTCCTCTGCAAGAGGGGACAGTGCTCTAGCCTCTGAGCTGTCTCTCCAGAAGCTCCAATCATGCTTTTTAGTTGAGGTGATTTATTTGTTTTGTTTTCAAGATGAGATCTTCCTGTATGTGAACTCCTGGGCTCAAGCTGTGCTCCATCCTCAGCCTCCCCATGGTGGGGACTGCAGTGCTCCACTGTGTCCCTCAGCTCAGGGGCCCTACAGAGTGTGCTTGTCAAGACTCTCACCTGCTCATGTCAGGAGACCTTGGAGGCAGGATCAGGACAGAGTGTCCATGCTTCTGTCCCCTCTTCCAGCGTGGTGTATTTCATCATTTGGTTTCAAATCCAATGGGTTTACATTTGAAGATGTGTGTGTGTGTGTGTGTGTGTGTGTGTGTGTGTGTGTGTGTGTGTGTGTGTGTGTGTGTATGTATGTGTGCTGGAATCACAGTCAGGGCCTTTTGCATGCTGAACTCCATCCCCAGACACAGTTTTGATCTTTGAGCCCCTTTGACAAAGAAGGCTCCATGATATTCTGCTCTGTACTGTGGTGGGATTTTTCAGAAGGAAAATGTATTCGCCATATTGCATTATCATATTAGGAGTATTTTTGCACTGATACGATTAAGGCTTAGATGTCTATCAATACACCAAGGAAGGTGGAGGCCAGCCTGGTCTACAGAGTGAGTTCCAGGATAGCCAGGGCTACACAGAGAAACCCTGTCTTAAAACAACAAAAACAAACGAACAAAAGCAGAAACTGTTGAGTCACCACCCGGCACCTTGGCTGGGTGGGGCCAGTTCCCCACAGATCCACAGTCCTCACTCCTGGGGGCCCCAGAAGGTGTCATGCCGCCTTCAACAGTGCTTCTTTTGCTCCTAGAGTGCTCCCTGGAGTCAAGCAGCTGGCATGGCTGTTGGCGGGTCTGCGGGGACCAGCATCTCCTCCTCAAGTGGCAGCAGCTCCAGGCCCTTCATCAAGATGAGCTGCCAGGCTCTCAGGAGGATAAGCCACATGCTGGCCGCTTAGGCCTCTTCCTCCCCATGAGCTTTAATCTTTTTACCCTGCTGCAGGCTGTCCTGAGGGCCATCCTGGCCATTCGGTGAGCTGCTGGGGAGTTGAGAAAGGGTGGGCCTGGACTCATCACTCCCTTTGGAATCTAGAGACCCTGCCACCAGCATCCTGCCCCAGACTTGCTTTAGGCTGTTTACTGAAAAACCATTGAGCCCTTGGATGACATGGTGACAGCACTTGTAAGACTCTTCCAAGAGGTGCCCCAGGCTTCACAGGCCTGGCTCTGGGGTAGGGGTGTTGGCCCAGCTCCCCTTGTCCAGCTGGGATGTGGGAAGCCCTGTAAACTCTCACACCACATACCTGCTGCCCCTGTGGCTTGGCAGACACCCAATAGCAGGGAGTCCAGCCCAGAGCCTTAAAGGAGCAAGGGTGCTAGGAATCCCCCAAGCCCCCGGCTCTACAAAACTAGGTGTTTCCTTCCTTCCTGAGTGGGTGCTGAAGGTCAGTGGCTCACTGAGTCCCCCAGCTGGGAATCAGAGATCCTGCACTGACCCCAGCCTAGTTCCCCAGTTCCTGAGTGTAGTGGGGGACCCAGTGGCTGAGGGGATGCCCGCACCATCCTCTCTGTGAAGGTTCCTGGCAAACCCATGCCCAGGACAGTGAGCAGTCAGCCTGGGGGACAGTTCCCAGCCCCTGCCTTTCTCTTGGCTTTCTAGCCATTTGTTCTGGGACTGAGGTGGAGACTTCAGCTACTGTCAAGATCCTCAGCAAGAATGGCAGTCACAATCACGGTCCTCAGGGGAGGTCCTCAGATCAGGAGGATCTGTGACACTTGCAGTCTCCATACATGACAAGATCTGCATCCATGATCCAATCTGAAGTAGAAGCCACCATGTGACTGTTAGTTGAAGGGGGGCTGGTGTGAATGTCCGAACGAGTCTGTTATGAATGCAGCCAATAAATGTTATTTGTGAAACTCTAAAGCAGCCACTTAAAAATTATTTTTATGCTCTGTGCTTTGCCTGCATGTATGTCTGTGTACCGAATGTATACCTGGGTACACATGGAAGCCAGAAGAGGGCATCAGATCCCTGGAACTGGAGTTACAGATGATGATAAGCCATCGTGTGGGTACTGGGAATTTGGACCTGGGTCTGCTGGAAGAAAAGCCAGTGCTTTTAACTACTGAGCAATCTCTCTTGTCCTCAAGCCAGCCACATTTAGGGGTAATCCTTGGTTTTCCTTTGTCCTCTCTGTCTCTGGAGGGGATTCATTTCTACATCTCTTTCCTGTCAAGGATTGGCAGGATTTTATTTAGTGTGTGTGTGTGTGTGTGTGTGTGTGTGTGTGTGTGTATCTCTGTGTTGTGGCTGTTGTTTTGAGACAGGGTTTCTCTACATAGCCCTGTCTGTTCTGGGGTTCTACTCTGTAGACCAGGCTGGCCTTAATCTCACAGAGACCCACCTTCCTTTGCCTCCTGAGTGCTGGAATTAAAGATGTGTGTCAGTGAACCTGGTCTGAAAGGGTTTTATTTAAGACATCATCCAGGGTGTCTCATTTTTATGCCAAATAGCATTTAAAATTGTATTTGAATTGAAAAATTTACATTTATTTACATTTTGAAAAATGTGTGTAAGAACTGTGCAGTGCTCTATTGTGCCTCTCCAGCATCTTGAGTTTATTTTTGTTTTGTTTTGAGACAGGGTTCTCATGTAGACCAGGCTCACCTCAAATCCCTGATTCTCCTGCCTCCCCCTTCCAAGTCCTGGATTTCTAGGTGTGTGACACCACAGCTGGCATAAACTAATATGTGAATGGGGACATCATTTGCATGATGTAAAAGTTACCACCTTGAAGTTCATTCATTCGCTGAGCCTGGAGCTCAGGATTTGGCTCCTGGGATCCACCTGTCTCCATTCCAGGGCTGGGGTTACTGGTGTGCGCTGCTGCACCGATTTATTTTTGTGGAAGTGCTGGGAATGTGAACTCAGGTCCTAATGCTTGCATGTGAGCACTTTACCCACAGAGCCATCTCTCAGGCGCTGCTCCAAAGGATTCTGCAAGAGACTGTCAGCATCTGCACACCCTGAGGCCCCCTTCCAGCCAGTCTGCACAGCTGGGAAACCAGTCTGCTTCGACTTTAGCGCTTTAGCCCTCTGATGCCCAGGCTTCCGTGGGATAAGATGTCCACACTCTGCCAGCATCCTCTTGGCCTCACACAACCGACCCATGGGTGTACAGGGACCTGCCTTCCCTCTTGGCAGGCGGCAGCTGGGGAAGAGTAGCAGCTCCTTCCCCAAAGCCTAGCCTGTAAGGTGCACAGCAGCTGTGACACTTGTTTGCTGAGACAGCAGAGCAGAGGTCAATGGCAGCCTTTGTGCTTGAAGGCAACAGCATGCTCTGGGCCAAGAGCTGAAGGAGCCTGTGAGTGAGGCCATCCTCCCGGCAGAGGGCCAGTCAAGGGCTGCCGAGTCTGCGGCTGCTAGGCTCCAGCAGGCTCCAGATGCTAGCCAACTGTGCTAGACTGCACAATGGTGCCTCGCTCCCAGTGCAGCAGAGTTGCCGCTCAAAGGCAAGCAGTACAACCACAGGCTCCGCCTTGGAGGAATCTCCCCCCACACCCCCAGAACTTGACACTCATCCACTCCTTTTCTCAAGAGTTGTCCTGTGTCTGTCTTCCCTGGGTCTCAGCGGTCACCACACCCTCAGCTTTGCGGGGTGGTAGTCCTCATTCTTTTGGGCATACTCCCTCCTAGATGCCCATATTCAAAGCTCTGAACAATGCATTCATAGCAAGCATCTTCCAGAGGATTCTAAAAGCCTCTGGTTGCCCTTAGTGAGGAGGCGAGAGTGCGGTGCTGGGGAGGACAGAGCAGCCTAGGACCCTGGCCCCGGAGTGCTTACTCCTGGTCTCCTCTGGGGAAGCTGCAGGAAGAAGGAGCACACGGCTGGAGTCTGACAGCTGGTAAGTGGTTTCCCAGTTCCAGCTCCCCAAATGTGACTGCCCAGGACCAGGTTCCAACGTTCTGTAAAAAACAAACAAAAACCCCAAACCAAACCAAATCAAAACCAAAAACGTGCTAGTAGACTCATGGGAGTGTCTGACTACAACATCCCATCTGTGGTTGGGGTGACACCGCAGGGCTCCGTGCCCACATGCTGCCAGCTTAGGACCTATGGTGTCTGAGTCACAGAAATGGTGCCCTTGATGACCTTGTCTGCTGAGGCCGAGTTGTCCTTCCCCAAGCCCCGGCATAGAACACACAATAGCATTCAGTGACAACTTCCCTCAAAGAAGGAATGAGTTCTGGAGCCAACCCCTGCCAGAAAACAGCACACTCTGCTCATAGAGGTGGCCACATGTCCAGGAGTGGGCTTGGGGAGTCAGTTGGCATGTGAAGGGTCGGACCATGATCTGGTAGGAGCCTTTTAACTTGCCTTCCTCTCTCTATCCGTTTATTCCAGCTGGGGCCTCCTGTCTGGCCTCCCGTGGCTCATAGGCTTCCCTCACACAGCCCCCAGTGTGCCTCAGCTCCAATGCAGTGTTATCACAGCTCCAGTGACTCTGCCAGGCCTGACATATTGTCTGTCTGTCCACTTCCGTTGTAACTCTATTGCTGTGGGTGCCTTTGCTCCTCTCTCCCCCTGGCTAGTTCCCAGAATTTTCTGGTTCCCTATGTCTGACTAGGGTAACCAGTCGCTATGAGCTGGAAGGGCTCGCTGGGGACATCCCTGCTCACAAACAAGGATGCTAGGTACAGAGAGTGTAATGTCCCACTCACAGTCACACTGCTGCTGGTAGCTGCAAGGCTTGACGGCGGCTTCTTCCTGTCCAGGCTGCTTCCAGGGGTCTCCTCCTCCCTGCACCTCCTCTGTGAGGAGACTTTCCACACTCCCTGCCAAAGGAATGGCAGGTGAGCTTTTTTAGGGAGCCGGGCTTGGTGGGGAAACGGAAGCTCTTCAATTAATTGATGATGTCTGCTTCAAGCCCAGGCAGGACCTGAGGGGGTGGGAGTGTCCTGGCATTTTCAGTGCTGTCCAGTGTGTCTCACTGAGCTGGGGGGTATCTGAGAGGCCCCCTCCCCAGAGCAATGGGAGCTTCCTGTTTTCTCCTTTGCCGTTTCTAAGAGGAAGCCCTGTTAGAAGACACCATTTTTGTGTTGAAACGGCAAACCCCAGGCTGATCCAGGAGCCGTGGAAGGTGCTAGAATTCTGGAGAAGTCCAACACTGGCATTCCTGAGTGTCTCAGCATTGCCAAGTAAGCATGTCCTTTCCAGGCATCCGCATGGAAGGAGGAAATGGCAGCCGTTACAGCCAGCACAGCCCTCCAGCTCAGGGTTGAGGAGCAGGAGGTTATTACAGAGCGGGTGAGTGGGCTCAGCTGGTGGGTTTGCCCTTGTGTTTGGACAAAGGCACAGGCTTTGCATGGGGTGGGGAGTTCTCTGAGCTTGGGGTACCTTGCCAGAGCCAGGCCGAATTGTCCATGAGAGGTGATTGTGAAGTGAGACCTCTTGCCTGTGTTATAGCCCTGGCCTCTACCAATCTCTTGACAGCCCCCATTTTGTCCCACAATGCTGACCCTCCCTCTTGCCCCTTAAAACCTCTTTTGTCCCACAATGTCTTTCCCTTCTGTTCCCTCCAATATATCCACTCCCCAGTTCTTCCAGAAAATATTTTAATTTTTGACATTTTTTTATTGAGCTATACATTTTCTCCATTCCCTCATCCCTTCTCCTCTTCTACCCTCCCTCTTGCCCCCCACACTCCCAGTTTACTCAGGAGATCTTGTCTTTTTCCCCTTCCTAGGCAGATCCATGTATGTCTTGCTTAGGGTCCTCTTTGTTACCTAGGTTCTCTGGGGTTGTGGTCTGTAGGCGGCTGATCCTTTGCTTTATGTCTATCACCACTTATGAGTGAGTACATACTATATTTGTCTTTCTGGGTTTGCTGTTACCTCACTCAGAATGTTTTTTTCTAGTTATGTCCATTTGCCTGCAAATTTCAAGATGTCATTTTTTTAACCACTGAGCAGTACTCCATTGTGTAAAGGTACCACATTTTCTTTATACATTCTTCAGTTGAAGGGTATCTAGGTTGATTTCAGGTTTTGGTTATCACAATGCTGCTATGAACATAACTGAACAAATGTCCTTGCGGTGTGAATGTGCATCCTTTGGGTATGTGCCCAAGAGTGGCATTGCTCAATCTTGAGGTAAATTGGTTCCCAATTTTCTGAGAAACCGCCATACTGATTTCCAAAATGGCTGTATAAGTTTGCACTACCACCAGCAATGGAGGAGAGTTTCCCTTTCTCCACATGTTCTCCAGCATAGACTGATATCAGAGTTTTTGATCTCAGCCATTCTGACACGTGTAAGATGGAATCTCAGAGTGGTTTTGATTTGCATTTCCCAGATGACTGAGGATGTTGAGCATTTCCTTAAGTGTCTTTTGTCCACTTGAGATTCCTCTGTTGAGAGTTCTCTTTTTAGATCTGTACCCTATTTTTTATTGGATTATTTGGTCTTTTGATGTCTAGTTTCTTGAGTTCTTTGTATATTTTGGAGATCAGCTCTCTGTTAGATGTGGGGTTAGTGAAGATCTTTTCCCATTCTGTAGGGAGCCGTTTTGTCTTGTTAACTATGTTTTTTGCTTTACAGAAGCTCCTCAGTTTCAGGAGGTCCTGTTTATTCATTCAGTGTCTGTCCTACTGGTGTTATGTTCAGGAATTTGTCTCCTGTGCCTATGCATTCAAGTGTATTTCCCACTTTCTCTTCTGTGAGATTCAGTGTGGATGGATTTATATTGAGGTCTTTGATCCATTTGGACTTGAGTTTTGTGCATGGTGATAGATATGGATCTGTTTGCATCCCTCTACATGTTGACATCCAGTTTCACCAACACCATTTGTTGGATGTGTTTTTTTCCATTTTCCAATTCTAGCTTCTTTGTCAAAAATCATATGTTCATAGGTGTGCATAT